CTGGAGGGCGGCGGGTGTGCTCCTGTGGAACTCCCTCTGGAAGAAGACGGATACCTGGCTCTGTGAAGACAGAACACACTGAGTACTCCTCATACACCATATCCGCTCCCACCCCGTGCTGCTCCCCGCCTCACCTTCCCGCTGCACAGCAGTCTCCTCAGCGCCGCCATCTTGCCTCTGTCCTCTGACAAGACGTCGCCCTTCGCCGAGCTTCCAGCCTATCACAACACAGAACACGCCGAGCCCACCAGCTGACTCGCCGCCACCAATCAAAAGCAGCGGAAGACACACGCCTTGGTCACACCCCCCCTCACGACAGCTGCATACGGGGTGGGCAGAGAGCAGGAACGGTTACCTCGCGACCACCAATCAACGACAGCTGGCTGAAGACGTGTACGGAAAGCGAAGAGGGCCATCTGTCTGATACGCGCATTGTTGTGGGTGGAGACCTGGGAAGAGGCCCTGGACTGCACTGTGCTGACTACACCGGGGGAATTGTAGACTGGAACGGAACCGAGAGGGTACCGAGCCCGGGGCGTCCATCAGGTGAGGGGCCTGGATGTCCGTGGCTTATGATGTGCCTAGACTCGGGATGAGCCCTGCCCCTGTTATCATATCAGGGTAGGGCCTCTGGAGCCCATCAGCTGCTGGGGAACCACAAATCCCAGGAAGTCCTGCCAACCGCAAAGTACACATTTGCAGAGCTCATCTCTCTGCTGTCACTCTGCTCTCTCCTTCTACCAACACATTTCTTGTTAGCACATGAGCACTGTAGTCCACCTGATTGGCTCCTTGTGCTTTTCCCCCCCCCTCTGGGTAGACATCGAATGCTCGTCCTCCCCCCAATCAGACATCGAATGCTCGTCCACCTCCCAATCAGACATCGAATGCTCGTCCACCTCCCAATCAGACATCGAATGCTCGTCATCCCCCCAATCAGACATCGAATGCTCGCCCCCCAATCAGACATCGAATGCTCGTCCTCCCTCCAATCAGACATCGAATGCTCGTCCTCCCTCCAATCAGACATCGAATGCTCGTCCTCCCTCCAATCAGACATCGAATGCTCGTCCTCCCTCCAATCAGACATCGAATGCTCGTCCTCCCTCCAATCAGACATCGAATGCTCGTCCTCCCTCCAATCAGACATCGAATGCTCGTCCTCCCTCCAATCAGACATCGAATGCTCGTCCTCCCTCCAATCAGACATCGAATGCTCGTCCTCCCTCCAATCAGACATCGAATGCTCGTCCTCCCTCCAATCAGACATCGAATGCTCGTCCTCCCTCCAATCAGACATCGAATGCTCGTCCTCCCTCCAATCAGACATCGAATGCTCGTCCTCCCTCCAATCAGACATCGAATGCTCGTCCTCCCTCCAATCAGACATCGAATGCTCGTCCTCCCTCCAATCAGACATCGAATGCTCGTCCTCCCTCCAATCAGACATCGAATGCTCGTCCTCCCTCCAATCAGACATCGAATGCTCGTCCTCCCTCCAATCAGACATCGAATGCTCGTCCTCCCTCCAATCAGACATCGAATGCTCGTCCTCCCTCCAATCAGACATCGAATGCTCGTCCTCCCTCCAATCAGACATCGAATGCTCGTCCTCCCTCCAATCAGACATCGAATGCTCGTCCTCCCTCCAATCAGACATCGAATGCTCGTCCTCCCTCCAATCAGACATCGAATGCTCGTCCTCCCTCCAATCAGACATCGAATGCTCGTCCTCCCTCCAATCAGACATCGAATGCTCGTCCTCCCTCCAATCAGACATCGAATGCTCGTCCTCCCTCCAATCAGACATCGAATGCTCGTCCTCCCTCCAATCAGACATCGAATGCTCGTCCTCCCTCCAATCAGACATCGAATGCTCGTCCTCCCTCCAATCAGACATCGAATGCTCGTCCTCCCTCCAATCAGACATCGAATGCTCGTCCTCCCTCCAATCAGACATCGAATGCTCGTCCTCCCTCCAATCAGACATCGAATGCTCGTCCTCCCTCCAATCAGACATCGAATGCTCGTCCTCCCTCCAATCAGACATCGAATGCTCGTCCTCCCTCCAATCAGACATCGAATGCTCGTCCTCCCTCCAATCAGACATCGAATGCTCGTCCTCCCCCCAATCAGACATCGAATGCTCGTCCCCTATCCCCAGCTAGACACTAACAGGGTTATTCACAAAAGCGTGAAGAGTTTGGAGAAGGCATGCCATAATTAAAAACAATCTTTTTAAATTGTTCATCTTATCTCTACATTATCTCCGCCTTTCTCTACTCTGTGAAGAGTGTTTCTCCTTTGTAAAACCTGTCATAGTCCTGTCTGGAGGGACCGTGAGCATCACAGAATTGTCGCAGCGTTTGCTGGGAGCGGGGCAGGTTTCCATTAAGACACGCGGTGGCAGCTATTTTGTGTGTAAAGGGTTAAATGTGGAGCTCACCAACCCCAGTAACGCTCGCTGTCAGTCTGCGGGCCGGAGATCCTATGAGCTGGGAAATCTCTGTGCAGGGTGAGGCTGGGAGTGATATGGTCACATCAGGATGTAGAGTTCTTTGTGTATGGATTGTGATCACATTGTGTGAAAAGATCTTCCAGTGTAAGGAATGAGATTTGTAATCGCAGCGCGCTGAGATAATCTGTTATCGGGTGGTTGTTTTCTGTCTCTGATTAGATCTGAATCTTTTCCTTTCAGGGATCCAGGAATAATATTGATGCGCTGGGAATCGCAAAGAACATCCTGTTACCCCATTCACAAGGTGAGCACCTTCCAGGAATCATGGCAAGGAGACGGTGTACAATCGTGATACCTATTCCAATATGGTGGCACCTGGATTGTGTGGACCCCCGAAATGCGTAGGCCTTTCTTATCTTTGGTAAAAAAAACTACTTTGGACTCAGTGGTGGTGCCCCTGTTATCCTTGGATTTAACCCAAGGCCTCCTTTTCCAGTGTGGTGGCACCTTTATATGCATTGATGGGTCCCCCAAATCCTAGTGACAGACATGACTACATTGCACAGATAAATATATGAGAGCTGTTTTATCTGCCAAAGAATATGGATTTCTGCCCATCCAGTCCTGAGATGTACACAGTTCTGCCACACAGCTGAGCCCTGTCTGGCAGGAGAAGGGACCTGAACGTTCTATGTTGCAGTTTCCCTTTCACTTACAGATTCCATGCCCACCCACAGCCTGGACAGTGAAAAGAGAAGCAGCACAATGATGAGCTCACGTCTCTGGAATATATAGAGGAGAGGCACTATGGTCTCTTGTTGTTAGTGTCCAGCATTGGGAATGACTGTTTCATTTATAAAGCTTAATTGCTTCTTTGTAGTCACTCCCAAACAACAAAGGAGCCCCAAATTGAAGAGGAGGCCTTGGGGTAAATCCAAGGATAACTGGGGCACCACCTACGCATTTCGGAGGTCCACATAATCCCTCTTCATCAGGGCTTGTACATTATATCCTTTCAAGATTGTTTGGACTCGGGAATGTGAGACAATTAGCTTTCTATTGCAGAGCTGTATACTGTGCAGGAGCAGGCAAAGAAGCGACAAGACCCCGAAACACAATTTTTTTTTTTTTTTTTTACCTTTTGATCTTTCGCTAATGAAAAAGAAAATGGACTCTCTTACTTGTGGTGGAGCTCATCACTCTGTCACTATGCTCTTTTTTCCTATCAGCATGCCCCTTGTACTGCAGCAGTGCTGATTGGCTCCTGGTGCTGCTTCTCACTCCCCGTGTTAGCCCCATTTATAAAGCAGCGGTACCCCAGGGGTGTGGAATACATATCGCCCGACGCCCGGGACAGGCAGTTTCGGGCGTCGGGTGAGTAGTTTTTTTCTACATTTAGCCCGGCTGCTGGCAAGCAGCACGGCTAAATGTAGTGTGGGAGCCGTTTCGTACAATTTATTTTGAACGGCTGTACAGCCGTCCAAAATCACTTGTAACGAGCCTGAATCTCACTCCCCTCACCTCGCTCCCTTCTCCTCCTCCCCTCTCTCTATCTATCTCTGGGGGGCGGCCATGTACCTCTCCCGGCTGCATGCTGGGTTCTTTTCTGCCATGGTCTTCGGGGTCCCCCCCCAGGCAAATTAGATTAGGTTATAGCACGGAGCTCCGTGTGGGCAGTGATACAGGAATGCAGCCTTCCTGTCACAGGAGAACGAGCACAGTGCTGTGCTAGAACTCCTGTGTTGGAGGTGACAGGGTCAATAAAGAGAACCTGCCACCTCCAAATGCTTTCACACAGGGGCTTGTTAGCCCTTGTGTAATAGCAATACAGTCAAGTGAAAAATAAATGACAATTAAAGGAGAATTATGAGGCGAGTGATTTTCACTAAGGTAATATACTTTCCTTATTCCTCACTCCCTCGGCAGACGGCACTCTCCTTGACTGTCCACTGACCAATGAGAAACTCTTCTTGGCACTGCTAAATACAGTTTTGGATAAAATTATTTTTTGGGGGATCAGGAGAAGTAGATTGTCATGAGGGACAAGTAGATCGGGCCCCCACTTTAGTCCTTTGACAAGTAGTTTTTTTTCAATTTCCACACCCCTGTACCCTTTTACCACGTTTTACAAATGAGGCAAGTGGGAGTGCCATTCATAACAATATGAGGGGGGAAAAAGGTTTTGGTAGGAGAAGGGCCTGGTCACATAACATGGAACCAGCTTCTCCATTTTTTTCTGTTCTGGGGGGGGGGGGGGGGAGCCCCCCTCCCCACTGCAAGGGTTAACTGCTCGTTTACCTGGAGGATGATGAGTAAGGTAATATACTTTCCTTATTCCTCACTCCCTCGGCAGACGGCACTCTCCTTGACTGTCCAACATTCTCGATTTTTGGCAGGCCCCCGGCATCCTTTCATACAATGCAGGACTCCTGATCCTGCATTGTACGTGATGATGTCAGGGAGCTGCGATCCGGCCATGAGCAAGCGCAGGCTGCCATTCAGACTGTTTCTGGAGCGTGGGCTGGACAGGGACTGACAAATGGCTGGACACGTTCTGCGGGCCATAGAATGCCCAGGTCTACCCTATATGAGGTAGGAATAACTATATCCCCATATTCATCATCCCCTAGGCAAAACAAGCAGTTCATTCATGAAGGGGGGGGGGGAAGTGTTCCTCCACGGAAGGCGTGCATTTTATGAATGGGTTGTAAAGTGCAGGCCTCCTGAGCAGGTACACTGCTGGGTCCAGTGGTAAGCAGGTGTCCCCTCTCTGCTATATATAAGGAGCTGTGTGTAGGGAAATAGGAAAGCCAGTAACCTTCCAATGTACTCCAGAATATTCCCTGGCTGTCACGCTGATTCATGTCTTCCACCCGTTGTCACTGCTCCAAAACAAATATGCAGATCAGTAGCTCAGACTTCATTTGCTCCATATCCTGTGGAAATGACTCTATGAACTATTTAGAGTGTTGAGTATTTTCGGTTGTCTGTGACTTATGACCATGACTTACATTGTACATGTTGTTGTCTTCACAGAAACAGGAGAACGCGATCAGTGTATGCATTCCTCGGCATTCAAACGTCATATTCACGCCAAGCATCAGTCGTTGGATCAAATGGATAATGGAGACTGGGGATTCATGGTGCGTGGGATTGATAGCTCACTTCTAATATTTATAGTGGGCAAGATGCAAAGATTCATTATGTATCATCCAGCTGGATATTGACTTCCACTGCATTCAAGTAAATCTAAACCAGATCACTAAAATCTTATGCAAGCTTTAATATGTTAACCACTTGAGTCCCAGCACTGTTTTCAGATGGTGCCCGGACACCCAGGAGGTGAAAGGATCAGCTCCTGGGGTTCCAGTGTCTCTACAGTTCACTCCATAGGAGTAGAAGCTTCTGCATAGTGTTTACATTGGGCATATGATGACATCCTGTCAGTATAGAGCTGTTGCAGCTCTGTCCGGCCTTTCCCTACATCAGTAGATCACTGTTAGAAATGAAAGCCTGGATCAGGTCTCCATTGGCCATATCCAGACCATCCTTGTAAAATGATGACTGTAAGTACTTGGGCGTAAATGTAAAGAAATACTTTGCTGGGTAATGTAAATTTGTTTGATCTGGAATCATTATTGAAAAAAGCTTAAAGGAGAATTGAGCTGAGTGAAAATCACTCATCCTCCTCATTCGAGCCGACGTGTGACATTGAAGCTGTCACATGTTGGCTCAATATATCGGGAAGTGAGCGAATACACACCGTCGCTTGCTCATTTCTCGATCATCTCCTTGCAGAGAGCAGTGACTGTCACGCACCACTCCCCGCAGGGATTCCCCCCCTCCCCTGTCTGATCCTCCAGCGCTGACTGGAGGGACAGACGGGGGACGGGGCGGGTACAGCTAGCTCTGCCCCTAGATAGGCAGAGCTAGCTGTCATTCACGCAGCTGGGTGGATCTCAACAGTAATGTCGGGATCCGTCCCGGCTTTGGCGCTCTCAGTATACCGCAAGCTATAGCTCGCAAAATACTGAGCTTTGGGTCACGGGAGGATGCTAATTTATGTCCTCCCGGGACCCTTAAGAGAACTATGGGGAAAACCACTTACCCCATAGTTCTCTTTTAAGAGTTTAATACTACGTTAATGTAGGTAATAAAGGGAATAAATCTCTCCTGAAGTAAAATGCATTTGTTGATTTTAAGCTTTACCATTCCGCTCCGTTATATAATAGCTATCTATAAAAGATATAAAACAGCTTAATCCCTGGCAGGACAAATCCCAGGAGCCAGGTCGCTAATGCTTCTTAAAAATTACAGCTGGCACCTAACTTTTAAACTTTTCTCTAGTTGCTGTCAACGGAGCTGATTCCTAAAACAAATCTTGCTGGCTCCTGGATTGGACAGGTTGGCTCCTGATTCCATGATGATTTGCCCTCCCCTGGCTTAGTAACACATACATTTGAAGAAAAAATAAATACATTTGAACCAGAAAGAATAAAGTTTCCCTCAAGTGTTCTAGATGACATATTTCTTAAAGCTGAACTCCAGGCAAATGGTTCCATATAAAAATGACATTCATAATTGGAAAGTATTTTACTTGCCAATGGATTTGTATTTCTGTCCATCCAGTCCCATGATTTACACACCCTTGTCTGGCACAGCAGCAGAGGTTTTTTTTTCTTCTGCTGCAGTTAAGGAAAACCTTCACTTCTTGTTCCTTCTACAGCCTGTGACTGAGCAGTGAAAGGAGAAGCGGAAGACTGATGAGCTCATCTCTCTGTCACTCTTCTCTCTCCTCCTGCTAGCATTTCACTTGTTAGCACATGGGCACTGCTGCACAACTGATTGGCTTATTGTGCTTCTTCTCCCTCCTGTCTGAGCTCCGCTGTACAGGGATTGCTACAGACTAATATCAAGTTGAATTCCTAAATTGTGGGTAGTCTCCCTGTGGGCACCTAGTTTTACACCTCTCCCCCTAATTACATAGTTTCACAAAACATAGGGGAATACAAGGGTTTTCCAGAAACCTTTGTATTCCCCTATGTTTTGTGATAATATCAAGTTGAATTCAGGTACTTACACCACCAAAAGAAAAATACTGATTGAATGAATACATAACTGCATTACTTTGTGTCATTTATGTATATCTGCCTGGACTTCAGCTTCCATATTCTTGTTTATTTCATTGATTTTGTGTCATTTGCTTGCTCTGGAATAACTAGAAGTCTTCTCCAATGTAGATGACTGATCCAGTCACACTCAATGTCGGGGGCCATGTACACACGACGTCGCTGTCCACGCTGAAACGTTATCCTGACTCCATGTTGGGTGCCATGTTCCGAGGCGACTTTCCCACTGCCAGAGACTCGCAGGGTAACTACTTCATCGATCGCGACGGATCTCTTTTCCGATACATACTAAACTTCCTGAGGACATCAGAACTAACCCTTCCCGTAGACTTCAAGGAATACGACCTGCTTCGGAAAGAAGTCGATTTTTATCAGATCGAACCTTTAATACAGTTTCTAAACGACCCCAAACCTCTGTACCCCACGGACACCTTCGAAGAAGTCGTCGAACTGTCTAGCACCAGGAAACTGTCCAAGTACTCCAATCCCGTCGCCGTCATTATCACCCAGCTCACCATCACCACCAAGGTGCACGCGTTACTGGAGGGGATCGCCAACCACTTCACCAAGTGGAACAAGCACATGATGGACACTCGGGATTGCCAGGTCTCCTTTACTTTTGGGCCTTGCGATTACCACCAAGAGATCTCCCTCAGGGTCCACCTGATGGAATACATCACCAAGCAAGGCTTTACGATCCGGAATACCCGGGTCCATCATATGAGCGAACGGGCCAACGAGAACACAGTGGAACATAACTGGACTTTTTGCCGGCTAGCAAGAAAGACGGACGACTGACTGAGCTTGGGCCGTTGCCTTTGATGGAGGCTTTGATCGGAATCCTTGTTCTCTAATAAAGCAAGTGCCGTTTTGCGCACCTATTTATTGATAGCGACTGTGACTGAATAGAACTTCAAACTTGGCTCCTGTAATCCAGCCCGCATGCATGTGCCGGAAAATGGAAGTCATCCATTCAGTAATGTTCTCCATGCTATAGTGTAGGCTTCCAGACCCTTAACATAGCAATTGCTCTCCTCTCTGCTCATGCAGAATGCTGATGTGCAAGTGGCTTGTGCGTGTGTAAAGAATGAACGCTGCAGGCATAAAGCTGGACTTCTAATCTCAAGTTGAGACCATGACCATGTTTTATGTTTGGTTGGCTACTAGACTTGGTGATTTTCTTCTGTAAATATTTTATCTCGCTATGCTACAATGAACAAAAGTCTGGAAGCCAATGACCTGTGTATTGATCCCTGGAGCTTGTTTACTGGCAAAGTGCTAATGTGCAGTGACTTCTAGCGGTGTAGAACAGAATCTGGTTGGCCATATACCAACATCATCAACATTGCCATTTAACACCACCACCCTCTGAGCATGGAATTAAGGCTCTTCTGTCCATAAATGTCCTCCTGGAGCAGCTTGGGGGACATTTTATTACATAGTTACATAGTTAGTCAGGTTGAAAAAAGACACAAGTCCATCGAGTTCAACCTACAACGGAACGCTATGCCCACAGTTGATCCAGAGGAAGGTAAAAACATTTCTTTATTGCAGTGTTACCTTCACAGTTTTCCAGCTTTGCAGTCAAATTTGAGAAACCTTCTCAAAACATTTGAAGAAGCCCCTTTCTCAACCATTCTAGTTGATTCTTTTGAATAGGTCTCTATTGGCGGCTTCTGTTGTTTAGAATAGCTTGCAATGAACAATTAATTTGTTTTAAAAGTGTTTTAACATACAATGTACCACCCAAGCCTTGAGATCTTGAACTCTTTGTTAGGACAGACCTAGTCCCCATCTAGTTTGCAGCTAAAATCTGCCAGCCCGGTACAGACAGGGTTATTATGGTAAACATAACTCAGCACCCCCCTCCTTAACATTCTATAGAAGGGGAAAGCTATGTAAGATTTTTCAGAAGATAAAAAGGTAAGCAGAAATATTTTTTTAAGGTTACGGTATGTGATTGGGAACGTGTAACACATGTAAGGTAGGTGTTATCCTAATTTGGCTGCAAAAGTGGACATACATACTTCCTTCGTTATTAATGTAATAAATAGAGAGACCTGTAATATCCTCCAGAGGGTTCAGTGAATTTAGCACATGACCTTATTTTAGGGCTGCAACTAATGATTATTTTCATAATCGATTAGTTGGCTGATAATTTTTTTCGATTAATTGCATAAAAATAATTAAATAAATCCTATCCTTAATTTAAAATAAAATACACAAATGCAGTGTTAGTAACATAAAGTTTACTTTATCAAAATCAGACTGCATGCACAATTTTTTTTTGCAATAGCACTGCACTGGAACGCATGGCATTGCGGTACCGTGCATTCCAGTGCGGCGATCGCCCTGTGGGTGGGAGGCTCGTTTGGGGTGCCACTGAAATGAATAACACTGCAACGCACCTCCCGCAGCAGGATTGTCGGGCCAAAACTGAAAATAACCTTTTCCTGCCTTTTTTATGTTTTTGTGTTTAAAATAATTATATTGTAAGCACATGGCGCTTGAATAGCTTCAGCCCGGAATGACGGCTGCCAGTGGTAAGATTCCACTTACAGTATTTACATACAGCAGGTAGTGGGCTGGTGCAATAGGCAATAGCAAGCCGGCTATTGCCCCGCCCGCTGCTTGCTGTACCCTCCTCCTAGCGTGGAGGAGAGAGCTAGGGGATCCAACCAACTGATTGATAATGAGAATAGTTGACAACTGTTCTTATAGTCGATTAGTTGGTTGCAACCTTACATTATTTAAATCAAGACGATCTCTTTTTACATGTTTAACCCCCAAAAATAATTAGCTTTTTCATTTCCTTTAAATCTCTATGTTGCCACAAGATACCTGCTATTACCTCTTCCTTGCTTCCCTCCTATCAGGATATGCTGCCAGAACCCCTGAAAATGGCCAGTGCTCTGGGTGAGGAGGCACATGTATACATCCTCCAGGTTTTCCTCTGTGCCTGATCAGCCAATTGCCAGGCTTGAGTGTTTCCAGCATTCGTAGCAATTCAGAAATTTCAGAGCTTCAGCTGCACAAAATCAGATCTAGAATAGACCACTACAAGGCTACTGTACCTGCCCCTTGCAGCTGTTCCTATTTCATATGGAGAATAACGTATTATAGAGCAAAACGAATGACCGCAGGAAGCCATTGCACATTAGCACTCTTTTTGTAAATAGTTTTTCCTCCACCCACCTGCACACCTCTCATGTTCAGCCAAATGACCTCTAAGCTAGGTACAAGTCTCCAGTATGCACTTGTCAGAAGTCCTCTCTTCCTGTTGTGTGACTGAATGTCTCTGCTGGGAGGAGGGATAGATGCAGTTAAATAAAGAATTGTGACTTTTGCACACTGGAGATATCCGGTTTATTTTCAGTGTAGTTGGGACGAGGAAACCTAAATCTTGTTTTGATGACACAGAGGGACCCCATATGGGAGACCCCTTTACTTTATTTGGGGAGGGAGTTGCAGTGCAGCGCCATCTGTTGGTAGAACCTTGTAATGTGCTGCAACTATACAACACATTCCTACTCAATTACACAATAAATTACAGGTCAGCTGTCAGACTTCAGCCCACCCTGCGTTCTTACCGGACTTCAGCCCACCCTGCGTTCTTACTGGACTTCAGCCCACCCTGCGTTCTTACTGGACTTCAGCCCACCCTGCGTTCTTACTGGACTTCAGCCCACCCTGCGTTCTTACTGGACTTCAGCCCACCCAGCGTTCTTAATGGACTTCAGCCCACCCTGCGTTCTTAATGGACTTAAGACCACCCAGCGTTCTTAATGGACTTCAGCCCACCCAGCGTTCTTAATGGACTTCAGCCCACCCAGGGTTTTGATCAAATTGGGGATTGCCATGTTACTGCAATTTCCTTTTTATATTATACAAGTCTTCCCAAATTGAATTGTAGAAGCTCACCTGTATTGCACACCTTCCCCTCAAGTTTCCATAAAGAGTTAATGACCTATCGTTCACATGGGATATTGGTGTATCATATGCCATTCTGTCATCCTGTATATTTATTTTCTGTTTACTCTGTCAGAAGCCCTATGATGGAAATTTATCAAAACTGGAGCAGACAAAAACGGAAGCAGTAGCCCATGGCAACCAATCAGCTTCTATCTTTCATTTTCAAATCTTAACTGACCACACTGAAGAGAGGAGCTGATTGGTTGCCATGCACAGCTGCTCCAGATTTTGCCTGCTCCAGTTTTGATAACTTCCCCCCTACGTGTCTTCAGCACTGTTGATAACCAAGAAACACAAATATATATATATATATAAGTCTATCTCGGGGGGTGGACAAATTTAAAATTCAGGAACCCAACTCCCTTAACAACAACCAGAGAAAACCCTCAAAAGTTGGGATTTCCCTGTAATTTTGTAAGGAGCATTGGCGACCTGGCTCCTGGGATTGGTCCAGCCCTGATATATATAATGAAGTCTGGGTAGATTTGGGAAATGTTTGTTTACAGATTACCACAGTCTTCATCATGTGCTGCATTCAGCCATGGCGACCCCTTTATCATGGCTAATAGGCCTCATCCAGCCTCTTTGAATGGGAACCACATTCATACTTTCCTAAATGCCACCCACACCGTGGATGCTTATGGACCTAGATTTGATGTCGGTTTTGTTTTAATATTGCAGTCAGTGGCCAAAGGGAATTCTTTTACATTCCATTTTATTAGGTTTTAATTCCCTTTTTGTCAGGTTTGTACAGTGACCAGTGAGCACCGAAAACACATTAGAATGCAGAATAACATTGCAGTTAAAGCAGAGCTCTGGTGAAAATGTATTTGAACGCTTGCAGTGGGGCTACCCCTGGACTGCAAGGGTTAAGTTATGCTCACCCGATCTTCCGAGCCGGCCGGCTGTGACAGCGCTCCAGCAATGGTATGTCCCTTGGTGTCCTCACGTCCTATACACTGGGGGGGATTTATCAAAACTGGAGCAGATGAATTCTGGAGCAGATTTGCACTGCAACCAATTAGCTGCCTTTGTCTCATTTTCAAATCTTATCTGAGCAAAGTGAAGAGAAAAGCTGATTGGTTGCCATGGGCAGCTGCTCCAGATTCTCTCTGCTCCAGTGTTGATTAATTACCCCCTCGGTGTATAAGACGTGATGACTGCAGCGGAGGGGGGGGGCTCCAGGGACCAGTCTAAGGCTGCCCATATACCTTGCGATCATCGGACAACACTTTTCGTCCGATGATCAAACCGCCGTATGGCGGCCTCATCCTGCTCCGATTATCGCATGGTGGCATCAGCGGTAATTAGAAGAGAGCACCTGGACGAATTGCGGTAATCGACCGCACGTATTTTCGTCTGCGCTTGTGCAGTGTCATTCGTACGAATTCTGACGTACGGAAACGCCACCAACCTTGCGAAAGTCGTTCGATCGACCGAAGTTTTCTAACCTGCTGGTTAGTCAAAAGTCGATCGATTGTACAGTATGTGCGGTTGTACACTGCCCATCAACCCTACGAATATCGGACGAAAACGCGATCCCAACCAAAAATCGGCCGATATTCGTAAGGTGAATGGGTACCTTGAGAGCAAGTGGGCTCTGAGGATCAGGCGAGTATAACTTTGATATTTTCCTCCCTAGACCAAAATGAGCACTTAACCCTTGCAGTCCAGGGGTCGCCCCACTGCCAGGCTTTAGAAAATATTTCCCGCAGTTCTTTATAATACTCTGAACTTTGGTTTAATTTTTTAGCCTTTTTTTTCTTTTCCCATGCACACTGCACTAGTCTGTACAAACGCTAAAAGTGCCATTGTCCTCAGCAGCCAATCAGTTCTTTCATTATGCAGATTATAGAATGAGAAGCCGAGACCTGTTTGGTTGCTGTGGTATCCGTACCTGGATCCGCCTACAAATCAAATGTCTGGAAATATGACTATTGGTTTTAAGACTTGAACACTAATGGACAGTTCCCTTTTAATTCTGAAGTCTTGTTGTAGTCTGATACAATAGATGACTTGTTTTCATTTCAGTGATAAATCATAATTACATATGCAGTACAATAATGAATCAGTATTAGTCAAAAAGATTTTATTGAGCTGTATCTATGCAGATAAATCAGGTGACCCCGCCCCGCAATCAGTCGTTCTGAATTCATGATTTGTTTTTTTTTGTTCAAAGTAAAAATAATGAAACCTCTGGTTCGGTTATTTCCAAATCTGGATAATCACTCAACAAAATGTACTGCCTGCTTCAAGTATTCTAATAAAGATGATAACGCGGTTCTTAACTTCTGTTGTCTGTTTATTGCAAGTAAAAGCAACAATGGCAACCACACGGTTCTATCAGAAAATCTCAATCCTCCAAGAAAAATGTTGTTGAATTAAAGAGTTCCGCAAAAGGCATTTCCAATATCCAAGTAGCCGGAAACTCTGCCTGTCCCCGTAGAAAGACCAGGGACGAACTGAGCTTCCCCTCATTAACATACAATGCTTCTAGATCTTTAACCCTTTGTTAGTGAGAGGAACATCGGTTTGTCCCCATAGAACAGGGGTAGCCAAACACTGGCCCTCCAGCTGTGTTGGAACTACAAATCCCATGAGGCATTGCAAGAGTCTCACAGCCACAGACATGACTCCCGGAGATGCAAGCATCATGGGATTTGTAGTTTCACCACAGCTGGAGGGCCGGAGTTTGGCTACCCCTGCCATAGAAAGACCAGGGACAGACTGAGCTAGCACTCATAACATACAATGCTTCTAGATCTTTAACCCTTTGTTAGTGAGAGGAAACTTTGTCCCCATAGAAAGACCAGGGACATACTGAGCTTCCCCTCATTAACATACAATGCTCCTTGATCTTTAACCCTTTGTTAGTGAGAGGAAACACTGTCTGTCCCCATAGAAAGACCAGGGACATACTGAGCTTCCCCTCATTACCACACAATGCTCCTAGATCTTTAACCCTTTGTTAGGATGGACATTATAGTTTACAACTTATGATTAGATCCTCCAGCATAGTACAGACAGGGTTAATTATGTTAATAACCTGCCCAGCCCCCCCCCCCCCCCCTATTCATTCCAGAGCAAATCTCAGTACATAGCATAACATTTCTTTTAGAATAGAGCATGTTTTGTGCAAGCAGCAATTTAAAAAAATGTTTTAGGTTCTGCTGGGTGGATGAGAATCGTAATAAATATAAAATAGATGTTCTCCCAATTTGGTTGCAAAAGTGGAAATATACTTTAAATGAGGAAATGATCACAATGTGCAGGTATAATAAAGGTGTCTATAGTAACTGTATGAAAAGGTTGACTGGTAGGAGGGTCTGGCAGGGTGCTGTATATATATTCCTGAAAACACCACAGCACTCAGCTTCAGTACTTACTCAAGACCCCTCAGCCCTGATGCAGGAAGTGGGCTGGCTTTGGAAAGGGTTATGTAAATATCAAAATGCCTTTATGGCTGGATGTCAGCCTGGAGGAGTGGGTGTTCCTAGGCAGCGGACCATCCAAGGTAACACCCACAGGTGATGGAGAGCCTCTACGATTGAAAGAATTGATACCCAGTGAATGAAAGGGGTGGGCCAAGGACACTCAGGCTTGGAGAGAAAGGTTTACAGTGGGGCAAAAAAGTATTTAGTCAGCCACCAATTGTGCAAGTTCTCCCACTTAAAAAGATGAGAGAAGAAGTAGGCAACCTCAGCCATCTAGCAGCTGTGGAACTACAAGTCCCATGAGGAATGGCAAGACCCTGGCAGCCACAGGTGAGGTCTAGATGATGCTGGGAGATCCTTCAGCCAGAAAATGAGACAGGAGCCTGTACAACTGGCTACATTCACGCTATTGTGTGAATGTGCGTTTAGGGATTCCTGTGGCAGGAACCTCCGAAATTCTGAGGCAGGAATCCCAAATATGCCGTTTAGAAGCAGCAGCTGCCACCCATTCAAGTTAATGGTCGGGTGACAGCGCCTGCATTTGAAAGAGGCAGTATGTGATTACATGCGGTAGAAATAGTTGAATATCCCTAGATGCATCGATCATGCGTCCAGTGACACTGATCTACGACATACGATTACATGCAGAGTGTCGGCAGACTGCTGCTTTCAAATGGGGCTGCTGTCAGCCGATCATTAACCTAAACGGGTGACAGCAGCCGCTTCTAAAGGGCATATTTGGGATCCTGCGGCAAGGATTCAAAGGTTCCTGCTGCAGGAATCCCTAAACGCACATTCACACCTAGTGTAACAAAGGACCCTTTCAGAGTGATTGAACTGCCCTCAAGCGTGTGTGAACGCAGGAAAGAGCGTGTTAAAGTGCATAGGTGTGAATGAGTCTGGAATCACTGCTAGTCGTGCTGTGTCTGACCCTCCCCATGTGACAACTATGTCATGCAAGAAAATGGCTGCTCTTTTATTTCCACATGTGTACGACTACCCCATCAATTATAATTGTTTATCACAGAGGAGGAGCTTGTTTTCCAGGAATTATAATTGGATCATATTATTAGATTAGTGTTAATAGTAATTCCTGTTTATTTCTGTACTGGTGTAGATGTTGTTTAGATATGAAATCAAGAAATTGAAAATTGAAAATAAAAAAAAATATTTAATTAAAATTGGATTTATTAAGCTCTTACCAAGGCACAGCAGTTACTACACATTTATTAACAAAACATTTTTTCTTAGATGTTTCATTAGTTTTACTTCCAGGCACTTGTGGTTTCCTGCAGGGACTGACCAAGCTGCATATAAAATAAAGGCACAGTACAGTACAGGGTCTATTTATAAACATTCTGCAGGGCCATTTGCTCTGTGAATATCTGTGAACATTCATTCTGTGTGAATAGATGCAAAAATGAATTCCAAAAGAATCCCTCCACACTCCTTACTGGTATATACCTTATAGTGGGTGCTGTAGTGATTGCGCATGGCGTCACCACAAATCCAAGTAGTATGCCTGATGAAGGGACCCTGAGTGGCCCTGAAACGTTGCAATGTGACAAGATCACTTTGTATCAATAAAAGGATCACGTCTTGAAGAACTGACCTTGCTGTGCTGGTGATACATTGTACTACTTAGATGCAAAAATGAACGTCCTTAGTATATATTTTCAGCTCAAATGTAATGTAATACCACATTATGGCCACTAGATGGAGCTGCAGAGCATTGGAAATAAAGACGTTACAGTACATTCAACCTAAAAAGGAAATATAGCAAGAATGTTTGTTTTTGCCTCTATTCACACAGAATGAGCATTCACAGGAAGTCGAAGGATGAAAAGGCTCTGCAAATTGTTTATAAATAGGTCAGGTCTTTAGATCAGCGTCCTCCAGATGTCTGTATTCATAATTTGGACTGGTTGCTTTGTAAATATGGCTTCAAGTATTTCTCAAACACCGGGCTCACCTGTGGAAAATAAAGCAGAGAAATCCAAAAAATTGAGAACAAAGTAGAGTTGATCATTAGCTTCCATTGCAAAAAACATAAAAGAGGACGTTCATGGCTAAGTGACCATAGAGTTCTGTGCGTATTGCTACACTATATTACCAAAAGTATTGGGACGCCCCTCCAAATCATTGGATTCAGGTGTTCCATGAAATGTCCTTGCTACTAAATATTCCGCGGTCAACTGTTAGTGGTATTATAACAAAGTGGAAGCAACTGGGAACAATAGCAACTCGGCCGCGAAGTGGTAGGCCATGTAAAATGACAGAGCGGGGTCAGCGCATGCTGAAGCGCACAGTGTGCAGAAGTCACCAATTGTCTGCAAAGCCAATAGCTACAGACCTCCAAACTTCGTGTGGCCTTCAGATTGGCACAACAACAGTGCGTAGAGAACTTCATGGAATGGGTTTCCATGGCCGAGCAGCTGCATCCAAGCCTTACATCAAGTGCAATGCAAAGCGTTGGATGCAGTGGTGTAAGGTGGTGTAAAGCACGCCACCACTGGACTCTAGAGAAGTGGAGACGTGTTCTCTGGAGTGACCAATCACGCTTCTCTGGCAATCTGATGGACGTGTCTGACTGCATTGTGCCAAGTGTAACGTTTGGTGGAGGGGGGATTCTGGTGTAGGGTTGTTTTTCTGGGGTTGGGCTTGGCCCCTTAGTTCCAGTGAAGGGAACTCTTAAGGCATCAGCATACCAAGATATTTTGGACAATGTCAACTTTGTGGGAGGAGTTTGGGGATGGCCCTTCCTGTTCCAACATGACTGCGCACCAGTGCATAAAGCAAGGTCCATAAAGACATGGATGGGGGAGTTTGGGGTGGAGGAACTTGACTGGCCTGCACATGTAGATCTCAACCCGATAGAACACCTTTGGGATGAATTAGAACGGAGACTGCGATCCAGGCCTTCTCCTCCAACATCAGTACCTGACTTCACACATACGCTTCTGGAAGAATGGTCAAACATTCCCATAGACACACTCCTAAACCTTGTGGACGCCTTCCCAGAAGAGTTGAAGCTGTTATAGCGGCAAAGGGCGGGCCAACTCAATTTTGGACCCTACGAACTAAGACTGGGATGCCATTAGAGTTCATGTGCGTGTAAAGGCCGGCGTCCCAATACTTTTAGCAATATAGTGTATGTATGCTCATTGGGCTCAGAAAAGTGGGTTGAATGACGCTAGGCATCATTTAACCCAGGAGAGGACCAGCAATGGATTGCAGTGTCATGTCTGGGGGGGACAATGCCAGGGTGTAGGGGAGTATTGCAGCCAAAGCTGCTTTTTTATTTAAAATCAGATGGGGAATCTTATCAAATTTTCAAAAATCACAATTCGATTTCTTCTATAGGACTTCCTGACATCTGCAGTTGTAGTGCTTCCTAAATATCAATTGAACTGGCTTGACCGATCATTACTTCATGCCTAACCTCCATAGAGTGGTCATATGCGAAGTGAATGTAGATTAAAAAGTACAGGAGATGGTGCTAATATCAAGATTCTGATATATTCTAGTAATACACTACAAAGGAGTTTGGCATATAATCAGGGCAGCCATCAGGGGGGTATGACCGATACTCATGTAAGGGGCCCGGACAGCCTGGGGGGCCCGTCCATGAGTATCAGCCGACGGTGAAGAGCGAGGAGGCGGACGGGCCCCTGCAGCGGCGGCGGAGGCCTGGCCCTAGCAGTGCAGGGCCCTAGCATTGCCGCTCCAGCGGCTTTGAGACAAGTTGGGGCCCCATCAGCGAAGCTGCTCGTGACGTCACTTCCGGCCAGTCCGGCGGCAGAGGAGGCCTGGTGTGCAGGTAAGAGGAGCTAGGAAGGAGGGAGGGAGGGGGATGCAGCCCTGACCAGCCCACCTTAGAACCTCTTCAGAGCCCACTATAGACAGTCTCAGATGGGCTGTGCAGCATCTATGGTGTGCTCTGCAGGGTCACTCTCAGGTGAGTCCAGTGCATCACTAAGCCCTGCGTCCAGCGGGTCACTCAGCCCTGCGTCCAGCGGGTCACTCAGCCCTGCGTCCAGCGGGTCACTCAGCCCTGCGTCCAGCGGGTCACTCAGCCCTGCGTCCAGCGGGTCGCTATTCCCAGAGTCCATCGGGTCGCTAAGCACTGAGCCAAATTCATATACTCTTCTGCATGGTATATAAATGTATTGCTGGGATTTGTAGTCCACCTACTGCCAGTGCCATTGTGCATTAGAGTGTAAGCTCCTCTGTACTAGACTGATGTGACTGTCTCAGTGTTCTCTGTACAGCACTGCGGTATACAGGTGAAACTCGAATAATTAGAATATCGTGCAAAAGTAATTGCAGTAAGTGCTGCAAAAGGGGCCCAAACCAAGTACTGAGTACATATGCATGCTTGTACTTTTCAGAGGTCCAATATTGTTCTATGTACAATCCTTGTTTTATTGATTGCATGTAATAATCTACTTTTTTGAGGTTGTGGATTTGGGGTTCTTGGGGTTTTCATGAGCTGTAAGCCATAATCATCACAATTATGACAAATCACGGCTTGAACTATCTTGCTTTGCATGTAATGAGTCTATCTCATATATTAGTTTCACCTTTTAAGTTGCATTAGTGAAATAAATGAACTTTACACGATATTCTAATTATTCGAGTTTCACCTGTATGTCAGAGCTATATAAATGTATAATAACAGTGTGACTGGCTCAGTGTGGTGGCGGTGCGGTGGGGGGGCCCAGCCTAAAGCCGTGTAAGGGGCCCCAAAATTTCTGATGGCTGCCCTGCATATAATCTTCGAGTGATGAAGTCTTTAGAATATAAAGACTTCATAACTTAGGCATTTACTGCCACACTCCTCTGTAGTAGTTTATTACTTGCACCAACATTGCAGGTACACTTTATACCTACCTTTTTGATGTCGGGATTTCTCTGAGACCATTCAAGCAGATTGTGATATACATTCCCATCATAGGTCCCAAGAGCAGAAATCAACTGTTGATCTGAGTAGTCAAAAGCATCGACCAACAAAACGGCATCTTTGCTGGAAAACAAACACCGTCATAGTAAGATTACACTACTGTACATGGGATGCAGTGGGGATCAAGACGGCCAATGGGGAAACACAGAACCCTGTGAGGGCAAGAGGATGTGTGAGTTAGAGATCTACAGTGAATGGCTGGTTGAGGATACTAAGGCGGGCAATCCCTTTCATCCTCTGAGAGAGAAAAACCTGCTATCTTTACTTATCACTTTACACCAGACTATGGTATGTGTTTTCCCCCATTTTGGTGTTTTCCTCAAATCAAGTTATTATATTATTATTATACAGGATTTATATAGCGACAACAGTTTGCACAGCGCTTTACAATATATGGAGGACATTACAATTAGGCCTGATTCACACGAGAAAAAGCTGGCACGTACAGCTCCATGCTGCGTGCACGGCCGTATCGGGCAGCTCCCGGGAAGGACAGGTGCTGCGTGTGATTAGTACGCAGTCCGTGTCATTCTCTATGGGAGTACTCGGCCATACGCCGCCCTGCGCTCACCGCTCTGCACCTCCGTGTGGGTGTCCGTACTCGTATACTGCCAGGATGGATCCTGTCTGCGTCCGAGCCGGGACACCCGCACGGACCTGCACTTGAGGTGAGCGTAGGGCGGCGTACAGCCACATACTCCATTAGAGAAGGACACGGGCTGCGCACTAATCACACGCAGCACCTGTCCTTCCTGGGAGCTGTCGATACGGCCGTGCACGCAGCATGGAACTGTACGTGCCAGCTTTTTCTCGTGTGAATGAGGCCTTACAATACAAGTCAAGACAAAATGGTAAGAGAGGGCCCTGCCCGTGGGAGCTTACCAGAGTTCCCCATTTGTGACATTCAGGCTGTTCTTGCTGTCCCCAGAAGTGTGGACCTTATAGTATAGATTGCCTCCATCTCTTCCTAAAGAATTGTATGCAAAGCGCATTGAAGATTGGGCCACTCATCTTTTCATATGATGAACTTTGACATATTTGTACACCATTTCTTTCCAAGTGCATAGTCGAGTGGCTTTGGGAGGTAGCTTGAATGGACTATTTTTGTGCATTGTGCATGTGTATGATGAAGCACATAATCTTGGGGCATCTGCTTTTATTGTACAGTTTCTAATATTTGTATGTATATAAACAGTGGTATGTGTTATGACATTTTGTAAGTGGATGTGTATTGGCACCTTTAAAGCCCCAGTGTATTTAACTATGTATAACAGTAGGGGTGAGGAGCCGTATCTCTCGCTGGCTCGTTATACAACATTGGGTATAGTTACTTTTGATGGCAATCCACAGCAGATAATACGTTTCATTGTCACTCACCGGAGCTCTGCTAGGAGGCCAAGGTAAGCTGTAGTGGCCAGTTCCAGTTGTTTCCCTGACAAGTAGCCATGTTGCAGGAAGTCACCGGCACTTGTAAATATTCCGTGCAAAGCGTACAGGTCACAAAGGCGCTTGAGGACGGTTTTAATTTCAGGTTGAGTTGACAGAGTGCTCACAGCAGAGGTGAAAGTCTTCACAGTTAAGTAATGTATGTGGGCCTGAAAGACAATTCACCATGTTTCATGAATCAAAAGAACACACCAAGATCTTGTAGATACATTTTATTCTCACTGAGAGCTCCTACCATTAAAATCAGCACTTTATTGGATCCAGTAAGGAAGACGTCAACATTGGAGAGCACTATTGTTATTTTGGAAAAAAAAACACAACTCTTTCTTGCTACGAATAAAAAACAATAAAAAACACAACTACTTTATGTAGCTGTGCCTACTTTATGTAGCTGTAACCTAAAGCCTAGACATGGTTTTTGGCTAATAAGAACATTGTGGGTGTTTTATGTCATAAGAGGTTAAAAAAAAGTGTTGTCAGTTACGCAGGCCCTGACCAGTTAACCTGCCGCAAGACAGGAGGGTCAGTTCGGCACAACTATTGTCAGCAGAGAGCAGAGCCGGCAATGAAAATTATGGCAATAATCCATGCAATAGGTTCAATTTACAAAGATTGTACACGAGGATGAGGATATGTTTTTAAAGAAGAACTGTGGGCAAATTAAATCCTAACCCTTGCAGTGGGTGCAAGTGCTCGTTTTGTCTAGAAAGCTAAAATAACAAAAATATACTCACCCGAATCGCAATCCTGACTGGCTCCTGGATCGGTCCCTTCCATCTTCGCTCCCCCTCTGCTCCAGCGGGCTAAAGGCCCTGTGAGTCATCATGTCCTATACAGTATATTTATCGATCGGAGGAGGAGCCAGACTGAAGGGACCAGTCTAGGAGCCAAACAGGATCGTGGTTCAGATGAGTATATCTTTGTTATATTGAGCCCCCCCAAAAAACAAGCAGTTAACCCTTGCAGTGCAGGGGGTAGCCCCACTGCAAGAGTTAAGAATGTATTTGCCCAGAGTTCTTCTTTAAGCCATGTGACAAATCTTGTTGAACTTCGCTGAAAACAACTGTCCCTTTTTTTGAAATATGCATCCACATCTTGGTGTGTTAGCTGTGTGAATTGAGCCTAATGTGAGCTAATGGGGGTGATTTACTAACCTAAACATACGCACGCACTAGGTGCGTGTGATTTTTACACAGCAAAACGTATTTATCAACCAAAAAGTCTCTAAAAGCATATTTCCACTAATGCCATATATGGAAAAATCATGCACATGATGCATATATAATGCTGCTTCACAGTTTAGACAAAAATGGTTAGCTCATGCATTTACATTCCTGCATGTATCAACGCAAGCAACACAATGTAGAGCTAATTTACACAACATCACCTTGCAATTCATGCAGGGCTTTGCACAACACACCTGCTGGGTGTGTACACACTACATAGGTGTCTAGATTCCACCAATAGATCATGCTGGGAGGGAACACACTACAGAGGTGTATACTTGTTTGTGGCGTGTTTATAAGGTTAGTAAATCAACCCCAATGTCTTACATATGATGGGCAAACTAAAATAGTAGATACTAACTATTGATGCCTTCACAAGCTCCACGGACGTGTTGTTCCATGCCTCATATTGCTCCGTTCCAGACTGTACTAAACGGTGCAGTTTGTTTGCTGCAGAAGCAATAAGTCTGGAAAAGAAAATGTTATATTATTAATTTATTATAATATACACTGGCACGCTCATTCAATTTGCCACTGCAAACAGCAACAGTGATGTGCAAACACATTGCAACCAATCAGATCTCAAGTTAATTAAGCCACAACTTTTTTTTTTCATTTTTGGATAGCGAGGGAGGGCTATAACCCCTATCAGCTTATTTTGCCATCTGTGTCCCATCCCTTTACTTCCTGTCAGGGAGTGAGAGGAAATCGCTCCAAAGAGAGTGAAATCCCTGGTGGTCAGCAGGGTCACTCCTTTTGGCTAAGATCAAGTGTAGTGTCTGTTCTTATCAGTTTTCAGAGGGGAACAGCGTGGACTGTCCTTGGGGAGGACGGTCGCTTAGCACTGTTTTGAAGTGAAGGTGGGTGTTTGAGGCGGCTCCTTTTGGAGATGGGGGGAGCTTCCTTATCACTAATGCCTCCTGATGGGGACAGGTGCTGCACCTCTGGTCTGGCCGGAGGGTTGGGAGGCGCAGAAGCCTGCGGTACTGTGCCCCCTGGGAATGGCGTCTCAGGGTGTGAAAAATCACTTGGGTTTGGGACCCCACTTGATTCACCAGGTCACGGTCACTCAAGTTTTATCTGCACCACGCCTCTTGGGCAGGCCTTCGGGCTAGTCCGGGCAATTTTTATACTTTGGTCTGGACGGCCTCCCCTGCCTCCTCCCACTCGGAGGTCTCTCTTCGGGAGAGCCCCCACCTAGTACTCGGTGGACCTGTTTCGGCAGGTCCATGAGGAGAGGGTCCCGCCGCCCTTCGGGTAAGTGGACCTAAGTCGCCCTTTCCCCTGTCAGGAGACTTCGCCCCGGGGGATTCAGCAAATCATGGCCCTTCCTCATCAGAGGAGGACCAAAGCACTCTTGTGCAAATGTTTGTTTTTAGTGTGTAGTGATTTCACTACTTTTTTGTTCACAGGGGATGTTTGTTTTCGATGCACGCTCCACGGGCTTAAAAAAAAAAAAAAAAAAAAAAGGAACAAGTGTCCCCATCGGAAGGTTTCTCATCTCTCTGTTCTGATGACAACCCACATTTTTGGATTTACTCTCCCCTTCACTTTCAGTAATAACGATCAACACGACAAATAAAGCTTGAATCTCAATAGTGGGAACACAGACAGAAATGAAAACCTTACTGGTGTTCTAATTCCTCTCCACTCTATCCAAAACTAAAAACAAAAAGGTTTTGGCTTCAGTTGCACTTTAAATACAAACTGGCCACACATGTTACAATTCGACTGTACAGTCTCCTTCAGATTTGTCTACAGTTCTGTAGCACGACACCATGCCTGACTCATTACAGGTTCATTGTATAATTACACTTGCCATTGTTTAAAGCCACTTGTATGTGGTGATCTCCTCCAATCACTGTCCATCTGTTGGAAATTTGGACATTCTATGGACAGTGAATGGAGGAGATCAATGCATAGAAGTGGATTTAAACAACAGTATGATGGTGCTGACAAGTGTAGGAATTTACTATGCCCGTCAACTTTTTTTGTCTGGAGATATCTTTTCAGTCACAGAATTATTTGGCTCTTCACGTTATCAGATATTAGAAATTATAGATTAGATTCTATAGTAGGTTTTATTAGAAACCCAGCATTGAAGGGCTCCCAAGCAAACCGGCATACTGACAGTTGAGATGCCAGAAAAAAAGACATTAAAAAACAAGATCATTAATCTAACCGATTTGAAGCTTTCAGGGCTTCCTATGTGGTAATGAAAAATGTTTCCCTTTCATCTGCCTCAACAGCAAGGCAAGAACCCTGATATATTTAGGTTTTCTTCCTTTGACAGCAATACTATGCAGCTCTGTAGTGTGAAAAGGACTAAAGAAATAGAAATACTGTAGTATTTTTTTCCATCAAAGGTTTATTGAAGAACAATTACGATTGTTACACTTACAGAAGAAACAGCGTAAAACCTATATGGATACATAATTGGGGAAAAGCCAGTCAACCTACAAGTTACAAAAGCAACTTGGGAGTAAGGCAGGCAAGGCAATGTGGGCCGTATCCAATCTTTTATCTATTCCTGCCTGGTCCAGGGGTCTGGACATGGACCGATCGCCGACCTGGGCTTGGTTATGGCCGGCCAAAAGTGGTAAAAAGTTGGCATTGTAGTAAAGAGCTTTGAAGATAGTAGAATATACCTTAGCCCATTTACTGACCTGTATGCTCTGCTTTCATAGGCCTTCATATACACATCAGGATTTAGGAAGTCCAAGTGTGTGTTTGCCTGGCATCCACTGGAGAGCCGGGTAGACAGATAAGATGTAGTTTGAGGTAATGGCTTCCCTGACTGGGCAGCAGCAAAACACTTAATTAAAAACCTAACAAGTAATAAAAAAAGATGGACGTTACACAGACAGTTCATTTACAAGCTGGTTTAAAAAAAAAAAAAAAAGTTTATGAACATCCAATAATTAATATGTGAAAGTCTCTGAGTTATTCACAATCAAGCTGAAAAGTATTGGGGGTCATAAATATAGCTGACCTGATGTTTAGTAATGACAATCTACAAACAGATACTTCTAGATAATTATTTTTATTCTTTGCATACCTTATTTTTCTTATGACCGTGGTCATTTTAACTAAGGGCAGGTTACTAGATCTCCCTTTACTTCCTGGAACTCTGGCACATGCGACTAGGACATGTGACCATGCACATCCTCACAGGGGAGGAAAAGGCCTTTCCCTGAGATCTCATGACATTACAGATGAGATTTCCCAGCAATACTCTGCTGATGTAATCTTCCCAGGATGCAACGCTTAGGCACGGATTACATAATTTATGCCAAAGTGGACCAGGAAGTGGAAAAAAAGAAATTGTAAGTAAAATAAAAATATGTTTGTTTAGCTAATGAATGTAAGGTGATTTAATATCAGCATGTAGAGCAGTATGTTGATGTGATTTTTAGTCAAAGAGGGTAAAGGTCCACTTTAACCCCTCCCCTTTTTTATTCTTACTTTAGACTTATTCTTGAAACTGGCTTTGGGGATCCCCTACCCAAATGCCAGGTTCTGTTTATCGCAGGTTAATAGGATTATTTCCCCCAGGAAATTACTACCGCATGTTTGTAGCAGATGGGTAGCATTGTACATACTTGGGTCCTGGCGGAGATGTGAGGGCATATGGATATACTAATGTCTCTACTTTTTCTAAAAGTGGATAGAGAAGCCCTCCGCACACCTTGCAGCAGTCCAGGCCTATGTAGAAGATGGTGCTCGTAGTGATAACCACGGATGGTGCGGTGCAGACACAGAGTAGAAACAAAAATCACCAGCACTCAGCGATATCATTAAACATGTCCATTTAATTGGACAAAACGTCAAAGTAACAAAAGCCAATGTTTCGGGACCGCACGGGGTCCCTTCCTCAGGGCAGAGGGCTTTTGCCCTGAGGAAGGGACCCTGTGCGGTCCCAAAACGTTGGCCTTTGTTACTGCGACGTTTTGTCCAATTTAATGGACATGTTTAATGATATCGCTGAGTGCTGGTGATTTTTGTTTCTACTCTACTTTTTCTAACTTTACATGTGATCATGGGAGTGCACAGCCTATTGCATTAGGGTGTGCAAACAAAAGTACAAACACACGTGTGTTTGTGTGCATATATGTATCAACCACCATGGGAGGGAGCTGCAGAGTGTTGGCCTGTGGCTTGCTGGCATCTGTAGTCCCCCATCATCTGCCAGAGACACATGTTCAGAGCAAAGCCTGGCCGCTGTTCCACCTTCACTGAAGACACAGTCAAAGTCTAGTCCCTTGCTTGGAGAACCCAACACTGCATTCTTCAACTCAAGTTTAGTGCTGCAACCTACCAGAAACTCCTGCTGGCTGAGGTCCTCTGAAGCAGAGCTCAGTGTGGTCAGTGCACGAAGTTCTATTAAACACGGCATTTCTTTAGCCATGTATGTTCCTGCACATGCCTTGCAGCCTCTGGAAGGAGCAGGCTTCTGACCAGAGCACAGCTCTTGGTGTTGCACTCGGGGTGATTATGGTGTGCCCAGGCATATATGTACATACAGTATATGTATATGTGTCATCAGTGAAGGTGAGACTGTCATCAGTGAAGGTAATTACATAGGCACACGCCTATGTAATTGCTGGTGATATAATTGCTTTATCTGAAACATGCTGGTCATAAAATATGTGCTAACACATTGTTTATTGCTGCTGCGCTAGCTAGCTCATACTTTTATCCTGCAATTGTTTATTTGAAAATGAATAAAAAGTTAGTGAAAGAAAAATAAATTGAATAATATTTTAGATAAATACATATGTGCATTCATTGGACTCTTAATATCTTCCTGGAGCTCAGCTTTAAAGTTACTGGTGTTTTGGGTTTATTACTCTGTAAAAAATATTCTTAATCTGTATTGCAGCATTGATTGTCCGCTTCAGACCCTTAAATAGTAGTACCTTGCAACTTGTAGGTGTAGGACGGTGTTCTCCCCTTCATAAGTACACGAAGCCACAACCCTGGTGTATAGTGTTGGCAGTCCACTGTACAGAGAATACCCGTGACCCCCACAGGCTTTGCGGCACACCTCCACACCATTGGAGCAAATCTCTGTAGCAAACGCTTTAATTCCTGAAGTGATAGCGTGGAGCTGGAATGGAATGTAAGCAAAACATAAAGCAACAGCTCACTTTAGGCCTTCCATCTGTCACTTATCCGAAAGCAGTTTATCAATATAATTTGCAATAGAAGGTAATATTGCAGCATGGCCATTAAAGAAATAACTTTTTCTGGTTTACCTGAGGCATAAAGTGGTGGAATGTAATTTATAACACTTTTATTTGCAATGGATATATGTTTGCGAGTCATTTAAATATATTCTATGTAATAATAAAGTAATACAGAAAGTACTATGGGGGGGAATTTATGAACACTGGAGCAGACAAAATCTGGAGCAGATTTGCACTGCAACCAATCAGCTTCTCTGTCTCAGATCTTACCTGAGCAAACTGAAGGGAGATGCTGATTTGTTGCCAGTCTGCTCCAGTTTTCATAACCCCCCCCCATGTACATATGCATTCATGCTCTAATTAGGAAATATAACATGGAAGGATAAAAATCACAAATATACTTAATATTTATTATAATAGTATCCCAGATTATATATATAAATTCTCACGCTCTTTATTTCTAGATATGGACCATATTAAAATTCCAGAGCTGTGTATTTACACGATTTAGCCACATAGACAACATTACTTTTGTAAATATTATTTTTAATACTGTGGCTCTCTAGCCAAAAATATTTAAAGCAGTATTAAACTCTTTTCTCTCACTTCCTGGAGAGAAAGCAGGAAGTGAGATGACATCTTTTGAAATAGAGAAACATCTGTAACATTGGCATTTTTCAAACATCTTTTTTTTTTTTGAGGGGATATCCAAAAGGTAATAAGGCAATGGGTAATTAAACTGGCCAGCATGTACAGAAGCCGGCTGATCCATTCAAATATTATTCTAATGTTATAAAAACAAGCTGATAAAAGTTTACATGCTGTAGAGATCTATGAAAGAACAGTTCAGTTACTTGAATCAATAACAGTAGCAGCAAAAGTAGACTAATGTTGACATAAACTCTTTCAGTTATTAGAGAATGTTTATCTCCAACTACAAATAAGTACATCTTAGATACAACATCCCAAAGCTACATTGTGGCACATGAACGGGCAGGCACTTTGTGAGCTCAGCATATCATTAAAAGAGAACTATGGGGTAACCTTTTTATCCCGTAGTTCTATTTAGGTACACGGGAGGATATATACTAACCTCCTCCCGTGACCCAAAGCTCCGTATATATATATATATATATATGGAGAGTGCCGCAGCCGAGATCCACCCAGCTGGCTGATTGACAGCGGGCTCTGCCTATCTAGAGGCAGAGCCATCTGTGCCCGCCCTTCACCCATCCGTTCTTTCACTCAGCGCTGGATGATCGGAGAGGGGAATCCCTGCAGGGAGCAGGGAATGAGAGTCACGGCTCTCTGCAGGGAGACGTTTGGGAAGTGAGCGAGCGACGGTATGTGTTCACTCACTTCCCGATCTGTAGAGCCGACGTGTGACAGTTTCAATGTCACACGTCGGCTCTAACTATGAAGATGAGTGTAAATCACTCACCCCATAATTCTCCTTTAATGTATGTCCGTGAACAAGTGACACAAGCACTGCAGTTTAAAATTTAACTCAGAGCACAACAATTTACTCTTAAATAGCCACAAAGGTTTTTGTGTGTGTCAAATGCCTTTGAAAACCCAAATCTTACCTTCTAAAATGAGCTATTACATCATCACTGTACTGTACATAGCCTGTGCAGAGAGCAGTGGGAGGGACCCTGCAGACTCCACCCACTACAGGCTGAGTGGGGGGAAACAGGACCAGTAACCCTCTACAAGGAGAGAGAGCAGCAGTGACCAGTCTTAATTACAGGAAGCTCCTGCACAGAGGCAAAGTTTTATGCTGGATTACTGCACAGATCCGGATACATCAAAGCCAGCCATGATTTAAGTAAGAATGCTACTTGGATTTAGACAAGATTTTGCTTATCCTGGAGTTTAGCTTTCAGAACAGAATTACCATATAGTTACCTCGGCAAGAGAGCTAAAATTCTCCACCCTGATCTCTTTGAAGACCTTGTTGTAAACTGCAGCCACGTATGTGGCCATAAAATGAATGGAATAACAAGTTGCCAGGAGAGGCAGCAGCTTTTGTTGCTGGGTTTGGTAATCAAGGATCTTAGCTTCTTGGGCCCTATAAAATAAAAAACCAAGTTGGTTAAAAATGTTTCAAATGTTAAACCTAAAATACATCAATGTATTTATTAACTGTGTGATTTGTTTGTCCTATGAAGTGCTGGGTATCTGCTCGGTATAACAATGCAAAAGGATGTCCCCTCTCCATCCGACGCTGAGCCTCCATCACCTGGAGTGTGGGTGCATGCTATAGGAGCTGTCCATGCTCCAACACAGAAGAAAAAAAGCTGCACACCATAGTCCACCCGAGAATTGGTTTATATTCTACAAGGCTGAACATGTCCAGGCAGACTTCTTCCCCCAGGATCACCTATATCTCTGCGATTAAGCCCTATAGGGGTGAAACGTGTTAGACGGGCAGCCGCTAAGAGGAGTGTCTCAGTGCGCTGGACATGTTCTGCCTTGTGGATTAAAAATCGATTATCGGTTGGACTATGGTGTGTGGCTTTTTTTCTTCTGTGTCTGCTTGGTATGTTGGTTCATTGGCAGAAGAACTCTAATAGGTACTGAAAACCCATAGGAATATAAATTAAAGGAGAACTATGGGGAGAGTGAAATATAAGCATCCCAATAGTTAGAGCCGATGAGTGACACTGCAGCTGCTGCACGTCAGCTCTAAAGATCGAGAACTGAGCGATCACAAACCGGTTGATCACTCAGCTCACGGCTTCCCCCTCCAGAGAGCAGTGACTTTCAGTCCCCGCAGGGATTCCCCCCTCTCAAATTTCTCCAGTGACTGGAGGGACAGACAGGGAAAGGGGCGGGCACAGCTGGCTCTAGAGAGGCAGAGCCAACTGTCAATCAGGCAGCGTAGTGGATCCTGACATTATTGACGGGATCTTTCCCATTAGTAAATGTCCTTTTGTGACCCTAAAAGTTTGGCCATAAATCTATTTTAAGCCTCCACACCTTCTGAGCTCTAATTATAGCCTGACACTAAAAACTTGTGTATCTAAACACAAGACCAAAAATTGAATATTTTGCAGCTTAATAGTCCTTAGATGAGGTGCCTGCATTAGTTTTCATTTTTAAGGCTTTTTTTTACCTTTCACTTAGTGGTTCTGGCAGCAACATTTCCTGCCCTAGGGTGACAACACTCACTCATTGTACTGAATCTATCTAGGAGCAGTAATGTCACTCTAGGACAAGGAGGAGCTGATTTGTAATGTATTTGCACAGCTGTGTGAATGATGTCCGCAGCCCATTATTGCCACTAGATGGAGCTGAAGAACATAGGAATTTCCTGTGACGTCAATGTGCTGCGAGCATCGTTTGCACAGCGTTATGCTGTGCAAATGCATTATAAATCTGCCCCAAAGTGCTTTAGGAACCGAAACATCTCCTTGTATCCATAACAATGGGGGGGGGGGGGGGGGGGGCTTCTTTGTAGTCCACAAAGAGAACAAATAATGTGTTGCAGTCCTGTTGAATGTAGTTCCTGTAAGCAGCATGGTACATACCTGGGCTTTAACTCTGACTGACGTCTGACTGCAGAATACCTCACAGCGATAGTACATGCTTTCTTCAGGGAATCCACGACTTCGTTACCAATCATGGAAACCCGTACTGAAATCATGGTGAAGTAATTTATCTGGTCTGAACCACGTTTCACATAGGAGCCATCGGGCAGAACCTGTCATGGAGAGATTCAATGAGTATTGTATACTACGACTTTAGTATTATTCAAAAATATATAAAACTGAACTTGAGGCAAAAAGCTAAATACAACGATGAAGTAAATATATGGCAGTTGTTCTACCTGCCAAAGGATTTGTATTTTTCTAGTCCTATGATTTACACAGCTCTACCTAGCAAGGTTGGGGGGAATAATGCAAAAAAATAGGGGAACACAAAGGAGTTACGCTAAAACGATATATATATATATATATATATACCAATCTCCAGGGTTTTAAAAAACTGCTCAAAAACGGATGATCCCCTAAATACAGAAATCCCTTGAATGGAGCTGGTTGAGTAAACAGGTAAGACCTATTATTTATGTCTTACCTGTTTACTCAACCAGCTCCGTTCAAGGGATTTCTGTATTTAGGGGATCATCCGTTTTTGAGCAAGGTTGGGGGGCCTAGTCTTTGCTGCTTTTTTACTTCCAGGTTTCCCACCTCACGATGTGAAGGGAGAGTGAAAGTAGAAGCAGCAGATTGATGAGCTCAATGTTATCAGCATTTTCCTTGCACTGTAGCATACCTGATTGGCTCCTTGTGCTGTTTCTCACTCCCCCTCTCTGAGCTCTGCTGTGCAAACTGTATGGTAGACTGATACCAGGTCAAATTCAGTGCTTGCATTTAAAAAAATGTTTCATGGTTTATGAATGATTATAGAGCTGCACTCATTTTTTCTTTTTATAGTTGCCTGGAGTTCAGGTACAAACAGGCATTGTTTACCCACTCCAACAAAATTTTTTTTTTACAGGTACACAGACGATATTCATTCCAGGACCTAATGCCTTCACATACTATTTGTAACCATCCCATGTATTTAGGGCCAGATGAAGAGCTGAGGATTTCGGTGGCCCATTTTGTCGACAGTCACCAAGGACCTTTTCCTCCTGTCCGGGCTGTGATTTGTAGTCTTCTCTACAGCTTGAAGTCAGTGGTGGGGCGCCAAGGCCTGGCTGTGAGCCTGGTAGATCTGACTCCAAGTTGTAGAGAGACAAATCTCAGTAATATATTTTACAGCAATGCAGAATACCACTAACTATAGAGGACTACAAATACCAGCAATACACTGTAAAGCACTGCAGAATAATACCATCAGCTACAGAGGACTACAAATCCCAGCAATACATTATACAGCAATGGAGAATAGTATGAAGCTACATACTCTGTGTTACTCTGCTTTCACGGCCTGATGTCTCTCCAGGTTCCCACGAGGGCTGTGCAGAGTTTTAGGGGGGCTGTGTAGGCTCTCAAGAGTCTGTTCAGGCTCTAAGGTAGCCAATGCAGGCTCTCAGGGGGCCAGTGCGGGCTCTCTGGTGGTCCGTGCAGGCCCTCTGGTGGTCCGTGCTGGCTCTCTGGCGTTCCGTGCGGGCTCTCTGGCGGTCAGTGCGGGCTCTCTGGCGGTCATGCAGGCTTTCACCGGGTGTGCAAAGATGCACTGGCAGCTGCTGCCGCAGCAGTTGCGGCTCTCTATTCAGGAGAATGCCGCTCGCTGGTGCCTCTCGGGGCCCTAGTGATGAGCGAGCAGCAGTCTCATATGCCTGAATAGAGGGCCACCACTGCCTGATTGCGGCCGGCCCAGATTGCCATCGGGCATACCAAGGCGATCGGGGTCGGCCGGGCCTATGTGCAGGGGCAAAAACAAAAAATAGTTTAAATGGAGTGAAGTCCCTAGCAAAATAGGATCTATTGGCAACATTTCCTCTAAATATATCAGTGCTACGGATAAAATTATTGACACTTTCAGTACCTCAGAGAACCTGCTTAGCATGTTTTCCTTTGGGATACGAATGTTTCTCATCATGAGATATCCATTGTCAACTTGGTCAAAGGACATCTTGGGCCCAATGTCACCAACAGTTATTCCTGAAAGGAGATGACAATGGATTTGGAATACATATACATTTTGATACATAGCACAGAGGACCTAATTAATCAACGTGACTGAAATAAAAATTGTTTGTGGTGCTCAGAAGTCACCAGACTTAAACCTACACTAGAACCAAGCAGTTTAAGAGTGAAAGTCTTTTTGGGGTCCACGTGCATATAAATACAGCACTTAGACACTGATAACTGGGTACTGATGCCCACGCTGGGCCTCATGCATACATGTGTTTATAGAAAAATTGTTCTAGTTTACCCTAGGATGTACTAATATCATAAAAGGGGAAATCTGCTGTACTTTTAGAGGAAAAACAAATCTTGAAGTGACTCTGTTAAACACTTAAAAAATTGCACACATATCTGCAGCAGCTTTCATAATTTTCCAGCCTAAAATAGGGTATATGGGTATAAGGTAATGTATAGGACTGTGATGAATGTATAGGAATGTATATAACTGCGATGGGCTGTTTCCCTGGCCTGTAGAAATGTGTGAAAGGTGAGAAGGAGCAAGGAGCCTTCGTCATTAGCAGCAAGTATCAACATTTGCCTGATTAGAACAGCCAGTAGAGGGGCAAATGAAAGCTGCTGCATGTGTCTTTATCACACTTTTTTTATCCTAAGTCACTTTAGGACATTTTAAAAAATTAGTCCCGCCATGCAATTAAAGGAAAAATAGAGGTCATTTTATAAAGGAGAAAGAATATTGATATCCGCTCTCTGTTATACTCCGCTATGTTACATACACTCAGACCCTTATTTTGCAGCCCATTTCTAAAATGCAGACAGTGCTGAGGAGCCCGCAGAGCCTATCACATTAAACCTATGATGTTCTCTAGGTTTAATGTGATTGGAGGAGAGCAAGTCATGTGACTGGGCTCTCCTCCTGGCTTTTTTTCCTATTCATTTTAATTGCATTCTGACAGTTTTGGACTCACAAAGGCAGAGGGGCACAATGCACACTTTTCAGTGCTTTTTAAATGAGCAGTCATTTTTCATTTTAATCAGTGGTATGGTCATGATACAGCCACCCTGCTGCTTTTTTAAATGGACCCTATAGTAACTCCGAATCTGAAGATATGGATTGTTACCTGGGAGTGGAGAATGGTCCTTTAGACTCCGGACAGGCACGATGAAAGGATGCATTCCATATTTCTTTCCCATACTATGTAATTGGGCCAGGACAAGAGCATGAGTGCAGGTCTTTCCTACTGTGCAAGTGAAAGAACACATATTAGCATTATGTAACATAGCATGGGGCACGGGGCCACAGCGAGTACTACTATTTTTTCTTTATTACAACCAGTTTTTCGTGTACATATTATCTATGGTGAGGATCATCCATGTATTAGACATACTGTATACCTGCAGCATGTAACACATATCTGTCAATATGCATTTTCACATGTTTTCCTGTTATATGTTCTTGTTGTATGTATAGGGAAATTTGAATAAAATGTTTAACAAAACTGAGACCCTCGTTACTATATAAAAATATTTGACTCTCCTATTTTCCTTAGTTAATTACTGAGGAAAATTGTATAATTTCCTTTTTCAACCCTGGTAGATGCCAAACGCCATTGTGCTCCATTCTGATTTGTGATGTGTATCACCTGTGTTACCCATCCCACACCTTAGGCATACCCCCCAACTTTTACAGATAGGACAAAGGGACGCCATTAAGCACAGAATATTAGGCAAATATGCCCAGAGGTGTATCTACAACAAATTGTGCCCCGCTCAGCTCTTAGGAACCTGGGACACCCTGGCTGGCGTCCTGCCAGCATACACATCTCTGTGCCCACTCCGGTTGCTAACAGCTGGGCGCGGAGATGTGTATGGCCCTTACACATCTCCCCGCTGGTCTCTCAGCAACCCGGGATGCTCTGGCCGGCTTCCTGCGCAGCTCCTGGCAACTAGTGATGTCACTGGTTGCCAGGATCTGGGCGGGACACAGGCCAGAGCATCCCTGGTTGCTAAGAGGCCAGGTGGGAGATGTGTATGGGAGAGGGGTGGGAAGAGAAAATAAGACATCGGTCTTCGTTGGGGTGGCACCCAGGGCATGTGCCATACCCTGGATACGCCACTAGCCATGCCCCTTTCATAACCTGGATCTTGACCAGTTAAACCCAATTATGCTTCTTTTCACCACTACGTTTTCTTCATATTAGTGTTTGAAGTCCAGTAAGAACAATATCCTGAAGGTTGATGAAAGACTGAGAGCGATAAATTGCATATTTATTTGTCTGTATGTACATCAGACAGAAAAGAGGGTCATTTTAGAAACAAAGAGTGACAAAGGGATTTGCTTCACAAATGAGTGACAGTTGGGAGCAAGGTCTTAGTAATCGCTAAATTGGTAAAAAACATGCAGTAAAGAAAAATACCCCTGAGAGTAAACCATGCAGGTAGCCATTTTGTACATTTCATATTCAGACTTTTGGCTCACAAAGAGATGTTAGTGTTCCTCCTGCCTTGGTTAAGTACTAAACCCTAAAACTCATAAGTCACCAAGAGCAGCACAACTGTTTAAAGGGTATACTTACAGTCTCCTGGCCACCATTTTGTTGCTGTAATGTTTGGAGTGTCAACGATAAATTCCTGTGTTTTGGGGTCGAAGGTGGCAGTTGTTTCCAAGCCTCGAAGATAAGTGCCTGAAACAAATCAACAAGCTAGGTGAATGGACTTAGATCTTTAGCCTTTAGCACATATACTTGCTGATGTTTTCTGTGTTTAATCAAGTTATCTGATAAAATACACATGCTGCGTAACCTGTACAAACCTTAATAACTGTCTAGTCTATGGCAGAAAATCAAAAGTTGAAGTTTACAAAGTGGCATTTACAATCAACCACTGACAAGATCCCTGACTGACCCGACTGTCCAAGTTCACCTACTATGGCCACTGCAAAGAGGTCTTCTCTTGTTTTTCATTCCTTTACGCCACTGAGCCAACTATGGATCCACTGATTCAAAGCACAGATGCAGTTGAATATTATAGAACCATTTAATTCAAAGAGCAAACAGGGGCATAAAGGAATAATGTGCATGACTCCATTTATTATCCTAGAATGAGGAATCAACCCCTTGTTTTTTGGCTTGCGAAGGAAGCGATGGCATGCAAACAGCTTTCATTTTTACCAGTTGTGGACTTTCTGTGTGCTATGTACATCCAAAATATCTACAGACCCTACTCTGACCCTCTGTCCCCATTGCCACTCCCCCCTAACCACCGCATTTGCCGGCAGCACTGGGTGGTTAAAATGACCCTAAAATAACCCTAATCAGCCCTAATTAACTAATTCACCCCTTTAGCTATTATTATTCAGCTATTTTTTGTTTGTTTCTATTTTTTAATATAATTCCAAAAATATATACACACATCAGCCATAACATTATGACACCGAGAGTTGAAGTAATGAACATATCTCGTTACAATGGCACCTGGAAGTGGCAGCAAGTTAAAATTTTGTCCCTGAAGTTGATGTGCTGAAAGCAGAAAAAATGGGCAAGCGTAAGGATTCGAGCGACTTTGACAAGGGCCAAATTTTGATGGTTAGACGACTGGGTCAGAGAAACTCCAAAACTGCAGCTCTTGTGGGATGTTTCCGGTCTGTAGTGGTCAAAACCTACCATAAGTGGCCCAAGAAAGGAAAACTGGCGAACCGGTATCAAGATCATGGGTGGCCAAGGGTCATTGATGCATGTGGGGAGCAAAGGCTGGCACACATAGTCCGACCCAATAGAAGAGCTACTGTAGCTGGTAAAGTTAATGGTGGTTCCCAAAGAAAGGTGTCTAAGCACACAGAGCATTGCAGTTTTTGCGTATGGGGCTGCGTAGACTCAGACCAGTCAGGGTGCCCATGCTGACCCGTGTACCCAAAAAATGTCTACATCAGACTACTGGACCATGGAGCAATGGAAGAAGGTGTCCTGGTCTTATTAATCGTATTTTCTTTTACATCATGTGGATGGCCAGGTGCATGTGTGTTGCTTACCTGGTGAAGAGATGGCACCAAGATGCACTATGGGAAGAAGGCAAGCCAGCGAAGGCAGTGCGATGCTTTGGGCAATGTTTTGCTGGGAAACCTTGAATCCTGCCATTCATGTGGATGTTATTATGACATGTACCACCTACCTAAACATTGTAGCTGACAAAGTTCACCTCTTCATGTATTCCCTGATGGCAGTGGCCTCTTTTAGCAGGATAATGTGCCCTTCCACACTGCAAAAATAGTTCAAGAATGGTTTGAGGAACACAAAAGTGAGTTTAAGGTGTTGACTTGGCCTCCAAATTCTCCATATCTCAATTCAATTGAGCATCTGTGGGATGTGCTAGAATATCAAGTTCGATCCATAGCAATTACAGGACTTACAGGAACTACTACTGACAGCTTGGTGGAAGATACCACAGAATACCTTCAGAGGTTTAGTGGAGTCCATGCCTCGATGGGCCAGGGCTGCTTTGGCAGCAAAAGGGAGACCTACTCAATATTAGGGGGTGGTCATAATGTTATGGCTGATTGGTGTGTGTGTGTGTGTATATATATATATACGTATATATATATATACGTATATATATATATACGTATATATATATATACGTATATATATATATACGTATATATATATATACACACTCACACACGTAGACAGGACAAGATAAGCACTTAGTCTGCAGTAACATACCGTGTCCCAGCTCAGTCTGAGCATATGTTCCTAAGATTTGATAGTTGGTGGCAAGGGGCAGCCACTTGGCGATTTGCTGATCTGTACCCAGTGCGTTGAGAGATTGTGTAAAGACATTGTGGATGTTAAGAGCGTACTCTCCGCTAAGTGCCCTGAAAGCAGAAGATAGGTATGAGCAACCGAATGCCTTAAAAATTGCCTGACAGGGGGAAAGGATATTGATAAGTTCGGATTAATAGCAATTGTTTAAAACGCCCATAGACATTAAATTAGAGTAATGCACGTCAATGAGTCACCCGAAAACGCTGCTTGCCGAGTCTTGTCTGCAAAAGATGAGACTGGACAGGTTGGAAAACTTTGATTGCTTTTTTTCCCAGGTATGACAGCCCCCGCCTCACCCCATAGATTAAAGCATATCTAAACCCAAAAACATTTTTAAAAAATATATTGAGGTTTACCAGGCCTGGAGGTGGTGGCTGTATACAACAGGGGGGAATAGTGGGCGGGGCAGACCCGGCGAATGAAAGGCTGCAGCGGTGTGGAATCCCGGGCGGTAAGCTGCTTTCTACATTTAGTCCTGCTTTGCACAAGCAGTACTAAATTTAGTGTGGGGAAGCCACGCCCTCTGCTGCTGTCAATCAGCAGAGGGGGGTTCTCCATCAGGTCCTCTTCTAGTGATTGACAGCAGCAGAGGGTGGGTGCAATAGCTAGTTTGCTATTGGCTATTGCAAAGTGAAATAGCCAATAGGAATCTAGCTATGCATTCCTAGCTGTCAATGCACCAGCTGTCAGAATAATAATAAAAAAAAAAAACCTGCAGATAGCAAAGAAGCTATTGCACAATATAAACACCAACACTGCCAATTTAACTGTTTATGCTTAAATTGTCCCTGTCAGGAACACCATTTCCACCATGGCGTTCTCCTGAATTTTATCTTCTGTCCATTCTTGTGTGGACTTACACCCGCAATCCAAAACCATACTAGTAGGTTGATGGTGTTCTTCATCATCTCCACCATGGTGTTCTCCTGAATTGTATCTTCTCTCCATTCTTGGGTGGACTTACACCCATAATCCAAAACCATACTAGTAGGCTTGATGGTGTGCTCCACCATGTTGTTCTCCTGAATTGTATCTTCTCTCCATCCTTGTGTAGACTTACACCAATAACTCAAAACCATACTAGTAGGTTGATGGTGTTCTCCACCATCCTCACCATGGTGTTCTCCTGAATTGGTTCCATCGTGTGTGTATGTTTATATATTGTAGGGACATGAGAACATGAGCTACTGTGGAGAACAGGCTCTATATGAACCTATCCATATATAAAAATGGTCAACTAATTACAGTATGGGGCATTTTGTCTGAAATTGGTCAATGGGACATTGATACCGTGTATATAATAAACCACAGAGGTACTGCATGTGAATTGACATTAGCCTCTTCCTATATATTGCTGCATCCAATGATAATATACACTTTAGATTTAGACACCCAGAAACATCTCTAACTGAAGCCACAAGAATCAAGCTCCAGAGTTATGCACCTTGTGTGAATGAGGCCTTATGGTTTAGAGGAAGAAATTTGCTTTTTGCCTACAACAATGACCTAAGGCTGGCCATGCACTGTTACAATTTTGGCCGCATTCACAGGAATGTGAAGGTAACTCCTGATGAAGTGGCGGCTGGCCACGATACATGTGGAGTTCATTTCACTCTGACGTCAGGCATTCTCTGGAGGCACATCCACCACATGCAGGTGTATGGGTACAGGGATTTTCTTTATCTATCTTATTTATCATGTCAAATGGCTTTTTGCAATATATATGTGACAAGCTTGAATTTAATTTTATTCTGACATGTATATATTTTCATGTGATATGGGGCTGAGGATCCCTCTGTTTACACCTCTCATTTATTATTGTGATATATTGCTTAACATTCACATCATTTGAATCATTGGGGGCATCTCTGTGGAATGGTTATGTAGATTATGAAGAATAACCATCATGAACCTATATGAACTGGGGATTGACTTACTCCATACTGTTGCAATGTGTTGGGTACTCTCATATTCAATAAACTACTATTGGGAGATATCATAATTTCTGAACTGTTACTAATATATGAGCTTTGTCAAGGCATGTCCCCTTGCTATAATGACATCATATGCATTGGAGGTGTAATCCATTTTATACAACTGCAGGCGTAGGGGACATTACAATTTTTCATTATATGCCCATGTGCTTCTAGGTGTTTTGCCAACTGTTTCATTATTGATATATGATAATATATATGATCATCCAGCTCGAGGGTCTAAATGAACACCTGCAATTGCTAGTTTTCTTATGGCGGATTTTCTAAGTTGTTTGTTAGAAACCAATGTATGTTTTTAAGAGCTATTCATAACCATTTCACAGAGCCATTCCCCTACGAATCTTTTCTGAACATTTGTTCTTAGGTGCACAAAAAAACACAAATGTAATACTACATTTTGGCCACTAGATGTAGCTGATGAACATAGGAAATAAGTATTTCAGCTCCAAAATGCAGTATTACATTACATACATTCGACCTGAAAAGAAAATGGGGGGAATTTATCATAGCAATTGCGAGTGTTTGAACTTGCACGGAATATATTTGCACCGGATTTATCAAGCTAGTGTAATGTTGTTGATAAATGAGGTTTAATAGACTTCAGGAAAGAAGACTTGTAACTTCAGGCAAAAAGCTTAACTGTCGCATCTTGGAGAAGTGGTCATGGGGACTTCTTAAGTTGTGATTGTTTTCTTAGGCGATGGTCCAGTTTCAGACAGCCCACAACAAGTGCAGATGAAAACACGTGCAAAAAACATGCAACTGAAAAAGTAGTGCAAGCTCTGAAGAAAACATTTGCAAAACACGTGCAGTTGTAAAAGTAGTGCAAGTTCAGGTGAAAACAGGGGCACATGTTGAAAGACAGATTTGCACATTAAAAAAATGATCGAAGAGGCTAAAACTGGCGCAAGTGCTTTGATAAATTCCCCCCAATGTATCTAAGAATGTTTGTGTTTGTCGGTGTTCGCGCAGTGCGAACAATCAGAAAGATTCATATGGTCAATAGCTACAATACAAATAGACCCTTTAGTTTTTTTATAAAACGTTCTCTTGCATGTGAACTGTTTTTTTTTGCACAAGTGTACTTCTCCATATTGTCTTTACAAACCTTGCATTCCGTATTTGTGTATCCTTTCATAGGATTGTCTATTATTTATAATGGTGCACACGCTATATAACAGAAAGGAAAGTGTTTTTGTGCTTAAAAGGGAGCGTTAGTGTTTAGCGCGGATGGAGGAATCTGTTATATCTATAAAAATATCTATATCTATAACAAATAAGTCAAGGCAACTGGACTTGCTGTATTTTTCTTGAAGACGTTTCAGTGGACATCCGACCAGCTTTCACAATTCAGAATGAGAAAGCTGGTCGGATGTCCAGTGAAACGTCTTCAAGAAAAATACAGCAAGTCCAGTTGCCCTGACTTATTTTTTATAGATATACCATGACCTGGATGAATAAGAACCTTCACAGACATGAGGAATCTGTTAGATTTTTTTTCCTTTAGCCCGCAGGCTGAACAAAAAAAATCTGTAAGTGTAAGACCAGCTTAAGTCTCCCTTTCATTATTCCGCACAGCTCTAACATTTGGATTGATATCCTCTTAAAAGTGGATTGAAGCCAATAAAAGCCCTGTGAAGTTTTACACTTTTCTACCCTCACATTTGCCATCCATGTGAAATCCTGTTCCTGCCGCAGGATGAAAATGATTAAATATAATAAAAACAAAATGGCCCTTTCCATTGATGAGCTACAAATTCTCATTATAAACGGATAAATGCTTCTTCTAATGCCTGTGGGGTGAACGCCTTATCTCTTAATTATATTATATAAAAATGAAGGATATTTCTCACATTCTAATCCGGTAATTAATGGCCTTAAGGAGTTCTTTGCTGAGGAGTCAATAGAACCATAATGGTTTGGGTTGTAAGCACATGAGCACTGGTGTTACGTTCCTTCAGATCTTTCCTGGTAGGGAGGACACAAGGAAAGCAGCTTGTATTAAATGGACTGCAGTGTCATATGCGCCAACATGGCGCAGTCACAGAATTTGGCCTCATAATTTTGATGCCAGTTTGACCGATGCCTACTGTTTATGAAGCCTTGTCTACTAACTACTAGTGATGGGCCGAAGACACTTGAGTTCGGTTCAAGTTTGAACTTTACAACATGGAAAAACTTCGAACTCAAACATCGAACTTAATGAAAGTCTATGGGACCAGAACTTGTAAAATCAAATGTCACCATTTTGAAGGCTTATATGCAATATTATTGGCCATGAAAAGGGTATGGGCATCCGTGTACTGCCTTGGGGGACATGTATCAATGAAAAAAAGGAGCAGTGATTTTAACATTGCTTAAAGTGAAACAATAAAAATGAAAGATTCCTTTAAATATTGTGCCTGGGGAGTCCCCTTAACCTGCCTGTAAAGTGGCGCGATGTATAGAACCTGCTGCAGCAAAAATGACATTTATTTTTAAAAAAGCATGTGGTTCCCACACCCAAACAATTCCAGACCCTATAGGTATGGTTGGAAAGTTAGGAAGGAACCCCATTTAAAAAAACAAAAAAAAGCATGGGGTTCCCCCTCAAAGTCTTACCAGGCCCTTAAGGTCTGGTAGGAATTCTGTGGAACCCCAGAACCAAAGATGGGGGGAAAAAAACATGGGGTCTAATTTCTAACAAGACCCTTCATCTGAGCACAGGTCTGGCAGGGCAGGAAAGGGGGGGGCGAGCGAGCACCCCCTTCCCCCCCGCCATACCAGGCCACATGCCTTCGGCACTGGGAGGGTGCTTTTCCAGGGGTGCTTTTCCAGTGAGGGTGCTTGTCGCCCCTGGAAAATAACCTTGTCCCCGTGCCGATGGGGACAATGGCCTCTTCCTCACAAGCCCTGGAGCATTGGTTGTGGGGGTGCGGGCAGGGGCCTTATTCACATTGGGGAACCCCTTTAATAAAGGGGCACCCAGACGCAGCACCCCCTTGTGAATGAGTAAGGGGTACTTGTAACCCTACCGATTCACTAAAGGGTTAATTCAAATTGTTACAAAGACACCAAACTTTATTTAAAAAAAGACAAGAAAGTTTTTGACAAGTCTTTTATTTAAAAAGAAAAAGAAATCCCCCGACGTAATCCTAAAATCACGACTTCGACGACATAGAAAAAACATAGAAAAAAAAATAGAAATAATAATAATTTTTAAAAAACGACAGCCGCCGACCTGTCCGCTCGCGACGAACTCACGCCGCAGAATGGCATTCTGACAGATGCCGCCAATATAAACAATTGGGTGGAGCTAGTGGTGACATCAACAGTTTACATTTGTCCGCCACCTGACAGGACTTAGGTGTGAGCCATGATTGGGCAAAGTCATCATTACTCTGCCCAATCATGGCTCTCACAGTGCACTGTGCTGTGATTGGGCACAGTCTTGCACCTGACCTGTGCTTTACCCAATGAGTGCACAGTGCCTTGTGGGGCGCTCAGCGGACAAACAGCCCGCTGAATGCCCTGATAGTTCGTGTGTTCGCCGAACACTCTTGCTCAACTCGAACATCAATCCCATCCCTACTAACTACCAGCCATTGGTAATGGAACCTTTTCACTCGGTACCCCAAGGATCCGGCGTATAAAATACTTCTGGAACCCAAGGATCTGTTAAACGTTTTATCTTAGGACCCCAACGTTGTGCTTCTCAACTGTTCTGTTGAAATATTTTTTTTATCATTTTTTTATTTTTATATTTTGCCATCAAGTGTCTGAAAATTTCAGATCTGTTTTTGATCTTTTTCCATTCTTTTGTGAATGTAAGCTAAAAGAAGATGGTTGACATTGCCAGACAACTGGTGGCATTTGGCAAAATGGACTCTGGCTTTTGATATCATGTTCAGGGGTTACTGTACCTTACACTGTTCCCTCACCCAGGGCTACAGGGGGTGGGTACTGCGGTTGACGGCAACATTTGGCATAACTGTGCCGAAAGTACAATTTCATCCTTAATAAATCGAATCTTTTAATTAAAATCTAATCCTTAAAGCAGAACTTTGGGGAAACATTGTCTTAACCCTTGCAATGGAGCTACCCCCCCAATGCAAGATTGAAGTGCTTGTTTTTGTCTAGGTGGAGGGTTAGCGAGGCAGACGTGACCGGTCTAAGAGCAAGCTGGCTCCAAGGTTTGGGTGAATATATCTTTGTTATTTTTCAACCTAGGCAAAAAGAAGCACCCAACCCTTTCAGTGTTGAGGTAGCTCCACTGCAAGGGTTAAGAAAATTTTTCCCTGGAGTTCTTCTTTAACAGGGACACCTGTTCTGGTAACACCTGTCTGAGAGGTATTTCTTTGACTTTGAGGTTTTTCTCTCGCTTCCTGTTGCGTCTACTGGACAGGAAGTAAAAATGAATCAGGACAAAACATTTTACCCTTTCCCTAAATAAAAGTTTTGACTATACCTACATGAACTTCAGGGTCAGCTTGGGTGCACACAAAAGGTCCAATTTAAAATTTAAACTCTACAGCTGTCATAAAAGCTTAATGAGCCCTTGTTAGAAACACCAACATCCGTGCCCATATTTGTTCCTGTCACAAGAACACAGGGATTTGTACATTACATAAAAAGACAATGAAAGCTTGGTACCTGTAGGCATGTATCACCTCTGGTCCATTGTCTTCCCATCCAAACTCCTTGAATTTCTTCTTTAAATGGAAAGCGTTTCGGATGGCTCCTTCATATCTCTCAGCTCGGGTCTTGAAGTAGAGATCCTCAAGGCTGAACACTGGGTCCTTCTGAATGGTGGTCACTGACAAAGAGACAAAGGAAATATGATTTGTATTCATACACTGCTAATTCCACAAAGCTTTACAACGACATTAAACCAAGCACACTGGAGAAGCTTACAGTCTAATGTCCTTACCACATCCTTATATTGCCCATTGTGCAGATAGTCTACAGCCTTGGTTCTCAACTGGTGGGTCGTGACCCAAAATGACTGAGTGCCCGACTTTTCAGAGGGGGCGACACCAAAATGACTGCCAGTCATTTTGGTCTCACCCACTCCAATGGTGTCACCCGGTGCGGGCCGCAACTGCGGCACCCCCCTAGTGACGCCACTGTCTCCAGTTCCTTCTAGGAAAGTTTGTACAGAATTTTGTTTACTGAGCAGACAAACTCTCTGCATATTCTCATGTTTGTCCTGATTACAGGGATACCAAACATATATCCCCTCACATTTTAATCCATGACTTAGACTAGAGCAGGGGTGGGCACCCTCAGTACTCCAGCTGTGGTGACACTACAAATCTCATCATGCTTCTGCCCCTGGGAGTCATGCATGTGGCTGCCAGTCTTGCAATGCCTCATGGGACTTGTAGTTTCATCACAGCTGGATTGCAAGGATTGCCTACCCCTGCATTAGAGTATAACAGGTCTATTCACAAAAGGGTGAAGAGCAGTGGCGTAACTAGAACCTTCAGGGCCCCGGTGCAAGAAACCAAAAGCTATGCAGGACTACAAGTCCCAACAATGCAGTATAATAAAAGTCGGCTATGCAGAATACCCCCAACACCCCCCATAGCTGAACTGGAAAGTGAGAGGAATTGGAGAATATTTCCTAATCAGCTATTTTGGCCTAGATTGCTCTCTTTACCTGACTTTTCCAAACTGTTCTCCCTTTTGTGAATAGCCCTGTAAGTGTCAAAGTCAAAGTGCAAAGTCTATGTACATTTCCAGCTCCTCCACACATATGGAAAGGCTCAGTGCAAAAGCACCATATTTTTTGCTCAATAAACTCCAGTTACAAAAACATCTACTGCCAACTGTGGGTAAAATGTTAACTGAGATCTGTTAAGTTAATCTATTTAAAGGAGAACTATGGGGTTAGGGCTTTTCCCCACAGTTCTCCTAAGGGTAACGGGAGGACACAAACTAGCGTCCTCTCGTCAACCTAAGCTCAGTACACCGCAAGCTACAGCTCGCGGTATACTGAGACGCCGCAGTATACCGCAAGCACTGAGACGCCGCAGCTGAAGCGGATCCCGACAATTATGTCTGGATCCGCCCAGCTGCGTGAGTGACAGCTGGCTCTGCCTATCTAGAGGCCGAGCCAGCTGTACCCGCCCCCTCCCCCGTCCGTTCTGCCAGTCAGCGCTGGAGGATCGGAGCGGGGAGGGGGAAATTCAGTCCCTCCCCTGTCATGGCTCTGGCCGTGACAGGATCGAGAAGTGAGCGAACGCCGGTATGTGTTCGCTCACTTCCCGATCTACTGAGCCGACCTGTGACAGTCTCATTGTCACAGGTCGGCTAGAACTATGAAGATGAGTGAAAAGCACTCACCTCATAGGTTTCCTTTAACAAAATCATAACATGAATTACCCATGTGAGGAGCCTCAGACAGAACCTGCCCTATTCAAACTCCCGAAATGCCTGAAGTTCAGGGGCGGTGACACCACTTGCAGTGCCGCTAATAAGGATAAGCTCCACCATAACCAGAGAATTCAGCCACAAAGCTTCCATCAGAGACTTGTCACACATGTTTTTGCTTCCTGATGCTCTTTTTAGATCAGGCTTCTGTAATCCCCTGCACAGCTAAACTCAGACTGTCAGAGGGAGGGCACAGCTCTTTTAGCCAATCAGGCTTTGCTGCATTGCACAGTGCTGAGTCTAATACTGAGAGCTCCCTGCAGCTCGTGCATTGGCCAATCACAGGCTGGGGCAGGTCCTGGACCAGGCTGTATTACTCTACTGTAGCGTAGTCTAAACAGAGGTCTCAGATAGTGTACAATCAGATTGTATGTATGTTGAGCTTAACACTGAGAGCTGCTTGAGGTTCTTTCATTGTCCAATCACAGATTGGGGCAGGTCTTGGACCAGGCTGTATTACTTTACTGCAGCATAGTCTACACCAGAGTTGGGCAAACTCTAGCCCTCCAGCTGTGATAAAACCACAAATCCCATTATGCCTCTGCCTCTGGGAGTCATGCCTGAGGCTTTCAAAGTTAGGGTTGCCACCTCTCTGGGATTTACCCAGTGTGGTTTTTGAGTCTTATGTCCGGGTGGCAGGCCGGTACCGGCACTGTACATTTTTTGACAGATGCGGCTGCTGAGGTCACCTGCAAGCATGGGACCTCAGCCAGCCACATCATGAGCCATGAGCACCTGTAAACAGGTATCAGCCTGCTCATCCCCTCCTCCATCTTCCTGACACCACGCTGCCCGCCTCCAGGTCCCTGGTGAGACACCGCACCCCCCATACAGCACTCCTGAAAGCCTGCATAGCCCACCTGAGAGTGCACACAGCCATTTGAGAATCCGCATAGCCCACCTGAGACTGCAGACAGCCACCTGAGAATTCACATAGCCCACCTGAGAGTGCACACAGCCGTCCTAAGAGTACACATAGCGCACTTGAGACCCCACATAGCGCGCCTGGAGAGTGCACATAGCCCACCTAGAGGGTGCACATAAGAGCCCGCATAGCCCACCTGAGAGCCTGCATAGCCCACCTGGAAGCCCGCATTGCCCACCTGATAGCCCGCATAGCCCACCTGAGAGCCCGCAGAGTCTACCTGAGAGCCCGCACAGCCCATCTGAGAGCCTGCACAGCCCACCTGAGAGCCCGCACAGCTCACCTGAGAGCCCACAGCAGCCCCCTGAGAGCCGGCAGAGTCCACCTGAGAGCCCACAGCAGCCCCCTGAGAGCCGGCAGAGTCCACCTGAGAGCCCGAACAGGCCACCTGAGACCCTGGAGACATCAGTAACAGTTGTTTTGCATGCTGGCTGGTGAGTGTGCTGGGAAACGTTTTGCTGTTACTGTTTAAAGCCCTTCCATGTGCACCTTTCTGTAAAGCTGGTGACAAATTGATGAGTGTGCCATTTGTTTTCCTGGAGACATCAGGGCGCCACCCCAAAACAAATAGCATGCAGCTTTATATTATTTGGCATTGCTGTATTATTTATTGCTGGGGTTTGTAGTCCTATATAGCTGGTCTCCTTATTCCCTTCCCTGGCTGCCTCTCCTTGCTCTCTGCCCTATATTCTCAGAAAAAAATAAATCACGTGACCGTCGCAAGAGTGTATGGGTTTCACTTGAAGAAAAGTTGGCAACCCTAGTCAGAGTCTTGCAATGCCTCATTGGATTTGTAGTTCCACAACAGCTGAAGGACTGAAGTTGTTTGCCCACCCCTGGTCAACATAGAGGTCTTGGGTAGTGCAGGACCTAGCTGTGCTTTTTGGCAGGAGCGTCTGGATCACACACCTGGCTGAACAGCATTACATCATTTGACAGATAAAACAGATCCGATCTATGTATTTTAATTTGGTATGCAGCAGGTTGTCTGGAGTTCAACTTTGCACTATGAGCGGAGTCATTTATCTGCAAGTAAGAATGCTGCTGATGTTAAAGTTTTAGACATTGGAAGGGATTGGAATGCGTTACAAACATGCACAAGCTGTATGCAAAGTGTACACAGTCAGTGCTCAGTGATATGTATCTGCAAGGCAGAAGCATGTACCTGTAAGGGGCCTACAAGTAGCAGCAGCATCCCCCATGCTAGCTGTGCAATTCCTCTAAGCTGCTGTGATACTGCACCCTGATATAATGTCACCATTGCATAGACCCAGCATACAATATTGCTCACCCACTGATCTCCTGAGTCGGGTTTCCTCTGCCCCTCCATGCAGGATGTTAATGAGGGTCTCCACGTTGAAGGAAGGGGACTCTCTCTCAATGGCCAGGTCAGGGTTAACATCTTTCCCAGCAGAGCTGACCTTCCACCATGCCATTGTCACCGCTCAGGCTTCGCTCCTGTATTGCACGCCTTGGTTGTCACTAGGCACAGATAAGGAGGGTGGAGAGGTGTCACTTCACTCTGCAACTCCTCCCAGACAGAACTCTAATCTCACATTGAGGATTTGATCTCTGCTGATCAGTATAGGAGAGAAAGTTCACCTTTCCCCTATCACAACACTTCTGGGAGGGCTGTGTTCACTATGACCGTGGCCGAGGCAATGTGACGGAGGCTTCTGTCAGCATGGAGGATGGCTCAGCTACTGTTAACTCCTTACAGACCAGCTTCCGTATTATGCTGTATGCAGCTGGTTTAACTGAGTGGAGAAAAGAGATACTGGGGGGAAAAAGGTGCAGACAACTGTGCAAGGCATAGCTCCCAACTGTCCCTTATTTAGAACCCTCCGTCCCACCTTCCTCCTCAGTTGTCCCTCTTTTAGAACCAAATCTGTCTGTCCCACCTTCCTCCTCAGTTTTATTTATTTTTTAACCAAAATCGTCTTTCCTCCTCAGTTGTCCCTCTTTTACAACCAAATCCCTCTGTCCCTCTTTCCACAGCTGTCCCTCTTTTAGCACCAAATCCCCCTGTCCCTCTTTCCTCCATAGTTGTCCCTCTTTTACAACCAAATCCCTCTGTCCCTCTTTCCTCCTCAGTTGTCCCTCTTTTACAACCAAATCCCTCTGTCCCTCTTTCCTCCTCAGTTGTCCCTCTTTTACAACCAAATCCCTCTGTCCCTCTTTCCTCCTCAGTTGTCCCTCTTTTATAACCAAATCCCCCTGTCCCTCTTTCCTCCATAGTTGTCCCTCTTTTATAACAAAAGCCCTCTGTCCCTCTTTCCTCCATAGTTGTCCCTCTTTTGGAATCAGATCCCTCTGTCCCTCTTTCCTCCCCAGTTGTCCCTCTTATAGAACCAAAATCCCTCTGTCCCTCTTTCCTCCTCAGTTGTCCCTCTTTTATAACCAAATCCCTCTGTCCCTCTTTCCTCCCCAGTTGTCCCTCTTTTATAACCAAATCCCTCTGTCCCTCTTTCCTTTGGCTCTATGCAGGGACAGGATCGAGAAGTGAGCGAGCGACGGTATGTGTTCGCTCACTTGCCGATCTATTGAGCCGACGTGTAACAGTTTCATTGTCAACCTTCAAATCACTCACCTCGTAGTTTTCCTTTACTGAATACTGGAATGCATGTAGCTGCAATGTGTTATATAAAATGAAGGTAGACACAATAAGCTTTAGACATTAACATAGTGTTAATGTTTACTGTAGAATCACATTCGCAATTTACTGATGAAGTTCACTGAAGTGAAATAAGACGAGAGTTGTATGCTTATTTTATTTTGCACCAGCTGATCACATATCATGATTATCACAAATTGTGTTTTTTTTAAACTTAAAACTCAAAATGGAATCACAGAATGGCAGTGTCAGTTGCGCTAATTTGCCGTCCCCTCCGCGGGAGTTGGTAGCACCGCCTGTAATAAAAGAAGGAAATATATATATATATGATAGAAAATTAAATGAAGCCAAGAGAAGTATGGAGGCTGCCATTGCTAACCTTGCCCTGCATGGCTGTTATGCTAATCCAAATGCTTGGTACTTTATGAGTGACCCAGTACTGACCAAAAAATATGGAGAAGATGAATTCTGACATCACTGACAATTATGCCGATTGTGACAAACAACAGAAGTTAAGTGTGACAGGATGTGAGCAACAGATAAGCAATGCGGGCAATACACTGGCAATAGGTTATGTTGGCAATATATGGACAACTGACAATGGTGGCAATACAAGGCAAAGAAACAGGCTATGATGGCAACACGTATGCAGTATAATACTTAGACAATCAATGCAGCTTAATATAAACCCCACTGCCTCTACTAGGGTTGCCACCTAGCTGGTATTTTGTTGGACTGACAAGTAAAATGGGGCTTGTTCCTGACGTTTAGAAGAATGAGATCATGGCCAGTATTTTCTCCCAGAAAAGTTGGCAACCTCACCTCTACTCTAGGTACTCTAGAGTAGAGGCGACCTCACCTCTACTCTAGGTACTCTAGCTCCAGACAGTAAGCTTATTCTCGCCCTGGGCATCAAAAAAATTCATATGGTGGAGGAGATAGCACAACCCATGCCTCCTCCAGTAGTGCTACTGACATCACTAATCCAATTACCTGACCGCTAGGCAGGCTGAAATATTTAAAACATGACCCAGGCTTATAGAAAAGCTGAGATCACCATGTCAAAGTCAGAAGGTTCACATATATGGTCTTGACCAGCAAAGTTGCCAAAAACAAAGTAAGAAAAGTATAACTACCTGAGGCATCATGGCAGATTCAGATGATGATGAATCGCCTACACGCCCATATCGCACCTAAAAAAGAAAAGTGGCTCGTTAATCAAAACTGGAAGGTGGAAAGTATCAGCACTGCCATCAGCATCAAGATTCCACTGAATATAAAGAGGTCTTGGAAACCTATTGGCTTTAAAGGCTTTCAAATCTAGCAGGCTTTCAGGTCTAGGAAACCTTTTGACCTTCCAGCCTTTCAAGTCTTGAACACCTATTTACCTTCCAAGCTTTAAGTCTTGGAACCCTATTGACCTTCCAGGCCATTAAGTCTAAGAAGCCTATTTACCTTCCAGACTTTCAAGTCTTGGAAACCTATTGCCTTTTAAAACTGAGCCTCCAAACTTGGTAGCTTTGCTGTGAACAGTTCATTGGTGTTGGTAGAAGTGACTCTACCCTCAATGGTTATATTTACGGCCACAGTGAAGATGATACCATAGTTGAAAATCCCTGTAAAGATGAACTCCAGACAAAGAGCTAGATACACCTGTACACAGCGGTGTATTTAACTTTGCTGCTCTCGCCCCCCAGCGCCAGCACCACGACACAGAGCAGCAGCCGATGACAGGAGGAAGACGGCCCGCAAGCAGCAGCGGCGCTGTGTGCTAGCTGCTGCTGTGTGTGGTGGTGCTGGCGCTGGTGGCGAGAGCGCACTATACAGAGGTGGGTAATGCCATCTACGGGAATCGGCGGGGGAGGCCCGGGGGGGGGGGGGGATGTGCAGCTTTGCCCTAGGCAAGGCAGCATCGCCGCCCTCAGCGAATCTGCCTTTCCTTCCTTCTGGAGGGTTTGCCTCGCGGCAGATACGCCCCTGCCTGTACATGTAAATTGCCTCATATAGCTAAGGCTTCATAATTCTGCTTAACCAATTTTGTGATCCAGATACTTCTGCCAGACACCACACCAGGTTTTGGACCATGCTCTCTTTAACGCACTTAAAGTCTACAGCTTGGTCACCGACCTCCTTTTCCCCACAGCCTGCTAATTGGATTATGATGAGGCATGCCATGCCCACGCTCATGAGGTCATCACTTTGCTCAGTTTGCTCTTCATGCCTGCCTAGTGATAGATGGACAGAATTTTAGCCTGGGTAGCTTATTCTGAGGGCCCCATACTCTCCAAGTCCTCAGTCAGTCCTACCATACAGGTTGCTTCAGAAAACTAATACTATTTATAAAATGTGTTTTTTTTTGCAAAGAAAAACATAACTGGATTAAATAGTGATCTTTTATTATCTGCATTGCGTTCAGCTACTTGATTAGTATGGGCAACTCTTTCATACTTTATTGCACTTAGTTTTCAAAAGCTGCCTTTATTATCATTGGCAGAAGGCCCCAGTTGCCCAGAGGGATTTGATGTTTGAGCGCAGTGATTAGCCTGAAAGCAATTTTTTAATTAATCTTACTTCAGTTAAATTGAAAATCCTTTTTTCTGATAAATGAGCTCCCCCTATAAATTGACATTAGAATTATAGCAAAAGCATTCTGCAGTAAAAGAGATCGGTAGAACAGTGGACCTGATTTCTCTTAGAATAAATGTAGCTTTTAAGGGCTACAACAGGCAACCTACACGCTGCCAATGTGCATATATATGTGTATCTGAATAAACCACAAAGTTTTATCTGAAATACTTAATGTGATTCTCTGGTGTTCCTTGAAATGTTAATTGGGGTTGATACAGGCTGCCCATAGATGGGAGGAGGACAGGGGTGCAGTCTGTAATATTATTTACTATTAGCCATTTTGACCCAGACCCAATCAGTATAACTCTATATGCTATGACTGATAACACAACAAATGCCATACGATTCATATTGAATATATACTTTAACCCTGAGTTTGTTACTCTACAGGTATACAAAGAATGTATATTTATAACGTAACATACCCTTAAATTTTGGTCAAAATCTTCATCTTCCTCAAGGCTGCATTTTCCAGCAGAACAGGGTCCGTCTCCAACTTGCTTCTTTCCTACTATGGCCAAGAAATCAGAAGCTCCTGACTTTTTCAAAAATGCTATCACGACGAAGGATAATACTTAGATTATTTATAATTCTGGAAATTGAGTTATACATTATCTCTGTTATAACATTATATCTATTATTGGCCGTGCCACTTTCCTCATCTTCTCTATAACAACAAATTTTGCACAGACCGATGGAACACAGATGACAAAAAAACAAAACAACGGGGTGTTAACCTTTCTCTACTTTCTCCAAAACGACAAAATATTTTGACTTTCGATGTGCTTTAAGCTTTATTGTGTTTACAAGTAATGGTGAATTAAACTGGTCATTATGATTGGTCCTTAAAGTGACACGAAAATGGAGTTAAATCTTAAAAATGTATTCAAACACCTTAACTGCTATCAAAAATGTATCGTATTTGTGTATCACTAGGCTGTAGATCCTCAAATAATCTCTGAATTGGTGCTGACACTTTCCTTCCTTCTGGAGGGTGGCTACATTTGTTCCCCATTAAGCCTGTGTGTGTTGTAAAGTAGACACTTTTGCTTCTGTGATGAACTACAGAATCACTTTTAGTTTATTAATTTGTATTCAGATTGTAGTCCATCACAGGAGCGAGCTTGGAGTGGTGACTACTTTACAACACACACAGGGACCATGGGGAACACACGTAGCCACCCTCCAGAAGGAAGGACAGTGACAGCACCAATTCAGAGATGATTTGAGGATCTGCAGCCGTC